AAAATTCATACATTTGAATATATTTTGCACAGATATTGTCAATATATTGTCTTTTCAAAGTTTTCATCTGTTTCCAACGAAATTATGTCGAAAGGGTAATGGCTCCTTTGGACATAAATTTTTACACGTACATGTATCAGCAAAATAGTCAAGAAATTGAAGAATCCATCCAAAATCTGCCATTGGGGGGGGGGGGGGGAAGTGCCCTCCTCCTTCATTTTTTCAAACAGGCAGGGCAACAAACTACTTATTTTTCTTTACACGGTCTTAGATGTAACTCTTATGGTCATGCTCAGACTGAACGTATGGGTAATTGTACATCGTATGATCTGATCATACACATGCGTGTACCAGTACATATTTATTGGCAGTTATCCGCTGAGAGGCAGACTGGTTAAAGGCACAGTTGGCAAACTTCCAACTAACGTATTTATTTATGAGGTGCTCCCTGTACAGTGACTGCCTGTGAGTCATTTGTAATAACGGCCTGCAGCAAATCTGCTAATAATGCGCTGGTTGTTGCATTATGATTCAAGGGGTTTTTTTCTTTTTCCCACGGCAACAAAACAACAACAAGCCATGATCACGAGTAACTGACTGCCCGCAAAACACGTGTCAATATTTTTTTATGTGCAATGTTTAGGAATTAAAATATTTTTATAATGTAAGTTCTAGGAATGAAGTTCCATAGCAGAAATGACTAAAAAATGAAATATTAGAAGTGAAACCAAAAGTTGCAGAAAAGGAACAAGAGTGCAAAAACAATATAGGCCTAACGATCCTGTCCAAATACAGACCTGTAGTCCGGTAAATTAATCAGATAGTGCCGTGAAAATGAAGTAAAATTTCATTAGTACAATGTACAATGTACATGTACATAATGTATGTATCATGAGTAATGATGATTTATCAGAGAAGTATGATAAAATTAAAGCATACACGTTTTTTGTCTCAGAAAAAAAAATCATCAAGATATAGCTAGGCTGTCATTACATTACTAGGGTGGAACCATACACATGCATTACATTTGTGTACATGTACGGTAGCCTCAAGCTGACACACATGCATGACACTTGATACTCATTTGACCAGCGTGTACTCAACTTGTACTAATTTGTACTAATCTGAACATGCACCATGTACACAGTATGCAGACCAATCTGGGCAGGGTAAGAATTCTATCATGAAGGCCCCCTTCAATGGCGAAAGCAAATGTGCTAGCTATTGTACCGATAATACAATACTTTCGCCATTGAAGAGGGCCTCCATAGCGATTACTGGCCCAGACTGCTAACAAGGATAACTTCACAACATACACTGCCTGTACATACAATGCCAGCACAATTTGTGACAGAGTATTGGTAGTATCCCCATGTCCTATATACCCTATAGACCTTTCTTTAATTTGTAAACATTGGCGCCATTTTATGCTCTTCTTCATTTTTGCAGTGTTGGACCTTCCATAGTTTTGCAACCAGTGGTTGGCAAAATGTGCAGTTTGCCAACCAAGCGTAGAAAGGTCTATAAACACCCTGCACTATTGCTACCTAGTACCCCCCCCCCCCCCAGATATCTCAAAAGAATTCCTGAGATTCTGGTATTGAGGTTACAAAATGACCAATACAAAAGAGGGGGGGGGGCGCCTGGAGGGGGGGGGCCCTCTGTCACATACCTGTATCTTGCTACATATGTGCTGTCACCCATGTATACATGCACCTTTTCAATAATCATTTATTGAAGTACCAGGAGATTTTTTTAATATCTAAATACTGGAGTTTGAAGTAGCACTTGTGTAATACTCTGGTTATTTTATCGCCTGTGCGTACTATAAAACTTATTAGTGCGTGTTTGGCACAAAGTACAGGCATGACTTATATTATTCTGAATGAGCACAAAGCCACGTAGCATTTTCGTGACCACCAGGTGTTGTGCGCAATGCGTTCGCATGTATCCTTCCAGCGGTCTCTTCCAACTCTCCCTTTGTAATCGTTGAGGGGGCAGTCAGTGGCGTACCCAAGGGGGCCCCCCTCCCCTCGGGGGCTTGAGCCCCCCCCCCCCCCCCCCCCAATAAAAGGTTGTAACGATTTGACCTTGGTGATATGAACATGTTTGCATGTGACCTATTTTCGAGTAGTAAAATAGGGGTGTAAGTGGCGCCACCACCGTCAAAATAGTATAGCCCACCCCCCAAAAAAGAAAACCCAATTTTTTTCTGTGGCCAAATTTTGGGCAAACTTTTTTGGAAAAAAATTTGTGAGCCTTCCCCCCCTCCCCAAGCCAAATCCTAGGTGCGCCACTAGGGGTAGTTGTGCAAGGTGCCCATACTGTGGGGTATGGCAATGTTTCCCTGCATAGGTACCGGTATACATACAAGTACACGTCTACACATGTTTGTTATGGACTCTGAACACAAGTACCACCTCAACGGTTACAGAGGAAGAGAAAGACGGGACTCTAGAATATGTACGCCTAGAACTCACAAGACAGCAGTCCATTCAGAATGAAATTAGTCATGAATACATCGTGCCATATCCGCGCTGCTACGCAAACCAATGTGCACTTGTTCTACATAACCCCCAAGGACAGACACACAAAGGGAGAAGACCAGATCCTTTCAGTCCTCGGGAATTGGTCTCTTGTTCAAAACGGTCCTCTGTGGTAGGTATGTGTGCTTAGACTTGGAAGAGTGTTATATTACAGCCCTAGGAAAGCACAAAGCATTGTCTTCGGGAGTATAGTAAAACAAGAGTATGTGCACAAGTGATGTGTCCCACACACCGAGCTTCAACCAGTGGTCATAAATAAGTGCCATTTCATCAACATGTAGTACTATTCATGCATGGAGGCTAGTCCATATCCATACTGGTACCGGTATATGTTACTGATAGTACTACGATGTAACCATTTACATTGTTATGCAAGACGTACAGTATTGTATGCAGACGGTGTCAGGTAAGGGGTGTCAGTTACGATGTGTAGCTCTCTATGCAGGTTGCAGAACCTTTGTTCGCAGGTTCGGCTCCATCGGTGGCTTGAGAATCACTTTACGCGCTTTCAGTGTCTTAACCATATGGAAATACATGTACATTGAATCAAATCTGGCCTCATATCATATGATCTGACGCTCCTGTTCCAGAAATAGGGCCAACGTTTAGCTGACGTCCCCTGACATGCCTGATTCAGGCTGGAGAGGGGGGGGGGGCCTTAAATTTTCTGAAGGCAAAGCTGAGAGTGGAGCCAGCATTTCAAAAACCCAATGATTTTGTCTGATCATGTAAGTGCATTAACAGTGGGGAGGCTTTAATTTCCTAGTGAAGGCAAATCTTGAAGTGTTTCAAAACCCAATGATTTGGTCTAATAAGTTCACGTAGACATACAAAGCATTACAAATGTATAACTTTTTTTTCAACATGTGGTTGGAACTGGGAATGAGGCATTCCCCCTTCCAACAAGTAGCCCCACCCCCTCCAAACACCCACTTCCCATCGAACGTTTCCTTCCCAACATTATCAGAAAAAAAATTACAAAGCAAAAAACATGCAGAGTAGTTGAACAATGTGCTCCGACGCCAATGTGGTGTGACATTTCGCGCCATTCAAATTACAAAACGTGACCCTGCCAACCAAACAGTTCCATTCGGGCGAAATGACTCAGTATTACATCCAAAGTCAACATAGGAAGGCGTGTACACCTCTAACAATTTGTTTACTTTTCGGAACAGTATAATTCTTTTCCCCCCCTTTTTTTTTTGGGGGGGGGGCGAATTTCTTATCAATTGTAAGTAAACTTCCCCATGGGACTCTTTCTACACCGCACTCCGGCTTTATCATGTCTGTGTAAACAGAAGGCTAGCCATATTGAATGTAATCTGTACAATTAATCTATATCATACATATTCCTCATCCGGTAACTGCGTGGCCTACTTATTAGTGATACTACATAAATACTAGCTAATAAAAATGTGATAATCCACAGTCACTGTAAATATGATAACAGATTCTGGTCAGATATGTCCTTAATTTTAATATTTTGAATAATTTCAATATTTTAAGAAATTTCACACATGTAACGTGTGATTCACATTTAATGGTCCTGCAATGAGACCTAAAAAGTAATAAATGTAAAAACTTGTACAAGTATTTAAAATGTAGAGTACATAACCAAACACAAAACAAACTAAAAATGAAGAAAATATGAGGCAAAACAAGATGGATTAATAAGGGTAAATTTCTCTATCACAAAATTAGTAATAAGGATATAAAGTGGCGAACTGCAGAAAAAAAGCAGGGTCATGGAAATTAGCTAAACACAGAAACCAGTAGTTTTTTTACAACACGTCATGCATGTCATGCGGTGGTGTATGAACATGATGAAGACAGGAACATTCAAAGTAGTCAAGATTTAATATTATTATTATTAAGACTGAGTACTAACTTAAGAGTCATCACTTAACATGATCATTGAGGAATAAGAACGGGTAAAACAAACACAAGTCTTTCAGCCAGAAAAAATAAACTAATTTTCAATGAGAAATGTGAGTTTCTTTTCTGCACTGTATTTTATGTAAAGGCGTCACAAGTTGTGCATGACGGTGATGGTCAGGGTTGTTGGTCCATGTTTTTCTGACTGGACATACGGCATAATTTTTCATCTCAAATAATTTTTCCACCAAACTTGTTATCTTTGTTCAATGATAAAACGTGGTGGTGCCCGTCTACTGCAATCATCCCTGGATTCTCACACCATTTCTACGGCACTGCACATGGGTTAATTATCGAATATCGGCATATAGCATCTTTACCAACTGTCGCCAACATCAGGCATGTCAGGCGACTCGAGGCTATCCAATAAAAACACCGTACCAGACCACGCCATGCACCGGCCGTGCCCACCCGCTGCTCAACCCGAGCAGCCATCACAATTTCAACCTGCAAACTTCCCATTTTCGCACTCAAAATTCCAGTTTTGAAGTTTATTACCAAATGAAAGAGTATACATACCACATGCACGACAGTTCGGTGTTAAAAAACTTGGGTAAAGTTCGGAGCAAAAAGCTGAAAAACTGAGGCACACATCTCAAGCAAACACAAACATTCTCCATGAGTGTGTATTATGCCCAACACGAGACACGAGGCGCAGGCGGTTTTGTGTACATACACAACACGCCACGCACTTTTGATTTTCATCAATGAATAATGATTTACATATTCATGATGACGTAGAAAGATCACGCGATTCATCGCGCGGTGCTCAGCTCGGCATGATCAAAATTATGATAATATTTTTGGATCATAAATTATAATTTCTTAGAAATACAACATCAAGATGAAATTAGAGGATTGTTGGGAATAATTCTAGTTCTACATACAAGTCCAGATTTCAAACCGCTTCTTATTATTTTATTTAATGAGAGGATCATTTTAATTTGATATATATATTTCAATTTAATCAAAATTTCATTTTTTTAGCTAAATCTTTTATATATATGCAATTATCGCATCTTTATTCAAGGTTTGATTTATACACATACTTTTTCGGAGATGTTTCTAGAAAATTAAATTAAAATGATATTCTTTATATCTACCTGTAAACTGTATCAAAAACTTATATATGGGTATCAATTAAAATATAGACATACATTTTAAACTAATATTAATAATCCTTAGAAATTGCATGAAACAATAAAGTAAAAATATTTACTCACCCGACCCTTCTTCTCATACAAAATGATGGAAGAAAGAATATGTTATTTTTTGTCCTATCCTTGAACCATCATTAGCATTTAGTCGCGCGCGTGAAAAAAAATCACGTGACAACAATAGTCCTTGTGGTGGTCAGTGACTACCAGATGAAGGTCGGACGGGTGACCAGTACTCGGGAAGAAAACCAGAAATAAAGGGAATATCATAAATAATAAATATGATGCATTTTTCAAGGGGAAAAAGAAACGAGCAACACTCAATATAAAAATATGATAATTCCTAGAAGGATAATTAATTGAATGCCACACAAAATGCTCGCCTATTGTTAATGTAGCAGATGTTGCCAGATAAATGTAGACTATACATTAAAATAATGCAACATTTTTAACCTGCACGTGTAAGAACTTTGTCTGGTTTTGTGGGTTGAACCTGGGCGCTGTCTTTGCCTCGACCAATGAAACAGCCGCCACATGAACTTGACCTCGTGGGTTTTGACTGGGCGTTTTCTGGGAAGGACCAATGAAAATCGTTCGTTGGAAGATCGCGCTCTGGCCGTCTAGATCCAACGATTGGTGGCGCTATTCCAATTTAATGGGAGCACAAAATGGCGGACTACGGGCACGATTCTGGCGGCAGAGTGAAGGTTTGAAGACATTATTTAACAATTGATGTAACGAATTTCTGGTCAAATTTCTTGCAGGGTGTTGGTTAAAAGAAGTCTTAAATATAGGTGTCAGAAATATATTAGTTTTTGTGGTATTTGTCATTCGGATGGGACGTTAAGCCGTAGGTCCCGTGTGTTGTATAAATGCACGTAAACAGAACCCAGTAAACACTTATGGTAGCAGACCAGTAAATAAACTTCCATAGACCCCAATGGTAAATGCTCCCACTTCAAAAATTCGGGAAAAATACTCACAACTCTCCAAGGTGTTCGAGACGCACATCAAATTAAAGCTTATTTCATCATCTTTCATTTTCTTTTCAATTTTCGGGGGGTCAACTGATGACTTTTAGGAGAAATTTCCATCTGAAGATGATCACCCCTGAAAATAGTCCTGAAGTCCATCGCCATTTTGAAAAACGATGCCTACACTCCATTGCAAAATAGAGCGCTTTTAGGGTCCAAATTACATCCAAATTACACAGAACTGCAAGCTCCCAGTCCTGTGCACGGCTTCCACCCATATTTTTTACAAACCCTCAAGTTCATGGCCCAAAGCATGCCCAAATACCGAAGATTTTGAGGGCATGCAAATCGTGATTTGGCCGGCGCAGGCAATTTCGGACCGATTTACTGGTCTGCACCCTTATCGCTAAGAAGTAAGAGTAAGAGAAGGGGTTGCCCCGGAGTTTCTGGACTCCTGTACAAACTCCCACGTGGAGTATTTAGGAGAAGAACCAACCAAGAACCAAGAACCAAGACCACCATCACCACCACAATGGCCACGGTGGATTCACCGACACCAGTTTTCAGACAGTACCGGCCGTCTGTTCCTGTCCGTTTTCAGTGAACACTGGTGAACGAATGTTGTCGATTGTTTTATATTAGTATACTTACTAGTTACTATTACACGTTACATTGTTCATATATCTTTATGAAAGCTTTGACATGTTGGAGTGTATTGATTTGTCACTTTTTATTTCTGTGACAAATGGGGGCGCTGTAGTGTTAACAGTAGTACACTCACATCAAGTGATGTTAAATACAAAATCGTCTTATGCCGTCGTAAAAGGCCTCATGATAGAAGCTGTTTCATGTGAATTTTAATTTCCAGATCATCTTTGAACTTTTTGTACAGGGCATTAATCTTGTTAAGCCCATTGTTTATGGCAACATCTCACGTTACTTTGGCAAGAAACGGGAGGAGGATGGACACACCCACCAGTGGACGATCTACGTCAAACCACATCGAAACGAGGTGACAATTTACTTAACTTATGAGGCCCAAAATTTGCATTCATTGATTGAAATTTGAACCATTGGCATTAGCAGAACTGTTGTATTTTATGTATTTAAATCTTGACTAACTCGAGTTGCCTAGGCAATTATTGTGTTGTTAGCATTCTGTCTCTGAACTCCTAGCTCTCTGGAAACGATGGCAAAACATTTTATATGTGGCATTTTAGCTTCTTTGGTTAATTTCTGAATGTTTAGACTATTTTCTGTTCTCCCTTCAGGATATGTCCACTTATGTCAAGAAGATTCAGTTCAAACTCCACGAGAGTTACGCCAACGCACTTAGAGGTTAGTGAACTATCATTAATTGTCCGCAGAGAGTCTTTTATCAAGAGGGGCGCAACAAACTTCTGTAATCCTTTCTGTGCTCTGTTTATACTCATAGTCATATGTATCTCCAGGCCCCTCTTACTTTAGTATCCATGCAGTCTCTTGATATAAACTGCCGTATATGTTGAAATTGTATCAAGCAGGTACTGACGGATGTAGTTTGTTAAATTCTTCTTATTTTTTTCTCCTTGAATCAGTTGTCAGCAAACCACCCTATGAGATACAGGAAACGGGCTGGGGGGAATTTGAAATCATCATCAAAATCTTCTTTGTGGATCCAAATGAAAGACCGGTAAGTGACTTAAGAATATCTTTAACATCGGAAAGACTTGGCTAGTCTACGATCAACAATAGCACACGTGTGTATGGGAGCGGCTGCAGCCGTTTCCATAGATGCATGTATAATTGCTGGCCATAGCCATAGTCAAGAACTTCAGGCATGAATTGGTCAGCCAAAATCATTGGATTAACTTAGTTTGTTTTTTTCGTTTATTGGTTTGCAGGTGACGTTGTATCATTTTCTCAAGCTCTTCCAAACGGACACCAACCTCTTCTTGGGCAAAAAGACATTAGTGTCGGAACACTACGATGAAATGGTGAGATTCTGCAAGATACCAAGTCTGTTATAGTCAAAAGAGATGCCATTGTGGTTAAAGGGAAAATACAACATTTGCAAACATCGAAAAATAAAACTACCAAGTTGTTACGAAATACCTTACTAGGATGTTGGTAAATGACATGCTTAAGCATCCTGTAAAATTATGGCACCTGGTGTGAAGCCATTTTCAAGAAAATGGTATATTTGTCTACATTTCCAACGCTGGTCGGCCGACCACCGTTGGAAAAACCTAACTATTATTCAATTACTGCACCAAATTTACCATTTTTTTTAAGTCTAAAGTTTGTTTTGCTAGCTATTGGTTCCATGCTCATGAACGGGTGCAGGCCAGCTAGACTGGTTCCCTTACCTTACAATTTTCTGGTATGTTTGATCCATTTCATCTTTAGTGGAGTCAGGGAACCAGACTACTGGAATATTTTTGTTTTTCTTGGTTTTTCCAGCATTTTCGATTACAAAACTTGAAACATGTCAGTGTAACAATATTTGATCTATAATTATACTAACCCCCCAAATAGTTCATTTCTGAAAATTACAGCAAAAGCCAATGATGTACATTCCCTTTAAATATGTTGCCGAAGGACACAAAATAAATCGTTTTAACCTTGGCGATGGGATCAAACACATAATCATTCTCTACAGGGAACACTTGAACTTGAACATGGTTGCACTAGGACATGGTCATTTTAACCCATGATAGTCATGAACAAATCTCAAAATAAAGTCATAAACATGTCTTTAAATGAACGTTGAAATTTAAAGTTTGTCCTGCCTGCCCCCTCTTCTCCTAGATTTTTCAGGACCCTACAGCCATGATGCAGCAGCTTCTATGCAGTTCCAGAGTTCTGACGCTAGGAGCTCATAAACATGAGACAGACTGTAAGTCAAAGAAGGGGGTCAAATATTTTTAGATAATTTCAATTTTCGGAGAAGTGTTTCTTGAATTGCTAATGCTATCGTTGCAGCAACTTCACCTGTCCAAGTCAAATTAAGAAATGCTGAATAATGATAACAAACTTTTTGTCCTGTTTCAATTTTTGTTTTTACGGGAAAATATTTATAAAGTTTGTACTTCTCGAACCTGAGAAAGAACGTTTCTTGTTTGGAACCCTGTTTAAACGTACTTGGGAGCTGCTGAATGAAATAGTCTGTCCAAATTGTAATGTGTCTTCAGAGCCAGGCCCCTTATCAATTTACAAGCAACTGCTTTTAGGCAGCCTTCACGAAGAAAACAACTGAGAAAGTTTAATCTTATGTGACGTTCGGAGGAATTCCCAATATTTGTTCAAAAAAGGTTCCCTTTAACATTACAGTGCATTAAACTGCCTTCAAGTTGCCTGTAATTTTTGCCTCATTTAACTTAGCCCAAAGACACTGATACACCCAAGGCTCCCTAGGAAATGTTTCCTGTAAAGAGTTTTCTTGACGCATTGTCTATTTTCTTCTTTCTTTGCTGTTTTGCACATTTGGGAATCTGACAGTCAACGAACTGGAAGAGAAGACTGTCGTTGCGCTCCAGTCAGCCCGGAAGAAGATTCGATTTGAGATCACGGAGCTGAACGAGCGACTGAAGCAGAGCAAGGACACTATCACCCACTTCAAGGAAGAGATCCGGAAACTGGAAGAGCAGGAAAGGAGGAAGGAACGGGAGAAGGTCAAAGAGAAGGTCACATGATGAGTGGGTCATGTGATCTCCGGGTCACCTTGTGAACTGTAACTTGACGTTCCAAAACTGCAACTTCCTATTTTGACTTCAAATGTTAAGCGTGCTTATTGTCCATGAAGCATTCTGCTCAGCTGACGTAGTATGGATGTCTCATGCAGACGTTGAATAGCAGATACAATACGGACAAGCTGGCCTAGTGAGGGCTCTATCTCTGCTAGCCACCAGGCGCCTGCAACCGTATATCCCATAGTGGAGTTTGCTTGCAGTATGCTCCAAATACAGATCTCATTCGCCACGGTGTAGCACCTTTAATTACAATGATTCATAGCAAGGCCCCATTTGAATCTCTGGTTTTGAAATATTGTCCAGGTCTTTGAATATTGACCTAGGGCGGTTTGCGAGTAAGCCACGCCCCTTAGACAACCCCTATGCAGTTTTTGCACACTGTGTTTTGTTTGTCTCAGATTTTGCGCGTTCCGCGTCCATTTGTATATCATGTACATTGTAATTGGACAATATTTCACAACTGCGTTAATGTGATTCTACCGCGATAGGTCAATTACAGTGGCGCATGCTGTCAAAAGAGGACGCGTTTTATCACTATTGAGTACGCACGACTTCTGAATGTGTCAAAGCTATTAGACACAGTGTCTTCGCGTGAGCGTCCGGCATTGTCGGCGCACGAATGCGTTCAAATCACTTGCGATGGTCTCCCAGACTAATTCCCGTCTCCAATAACTTTGGATCATTCGAAACATGCAGTGAATGAACCGGGAACCAGTGTAGGTCTCCCCCAACTCTCCTGTTTTGGCCGTTAAATGGGTACTTGTGCACGGAGCCCTGTCTACAGAGCGTGTAAGTCTCGCCAGTCCACGTTCACTTTTCATGTGACCATCTCGGTACCAAACACTGACTAGGGTTGTCACAGATCTGCGTTTCAATTTATCGACTGAACGGAAGTTGAGGTCAACAATTGTAATTTAATAAAAGTCATCAATTTGCAATATTTTCAATATGTTGTAAATTGTAAAGCTTTTTCTTTCGAAATATTCATTGATTGGATCGGGCCAGTAAGGACACAAAAAATGTTTTAAAAAAAGGGAATTACACAAGTTGTAGATCCTATACGTGGTTCCCCGGATAAATCGTAAAATCCTGCCGATTTCTTAGGTCAACTTAGGTGCTCAATAGAACTAGCCATAGCTTTGACACAGATGTGGCCTAACATACTCGGCTACAAGTGAACTGGAGAAAGAGGAATTACATTTTTATTCTGCCAATCCTCCTATTAAAAAAAACAAGAAATTCAGCTTTTGTCCATCCTAACAATTTCACAAACTCAGATCATCTCCTTTATTTATTTATCAGTGAATTCACAAAGTTATTTTATTTTCGCATCTGTCAATTGTTACATTTTGCATCTTTGTTAGGAACTTTGAGTATTGTACATGTAAATAAACTGTAAAAGTAAGAAGATGAGTCTGATTAAGATTTATTGGAGTACATCTATGTGACACTTACATGTTGAGAATTTGATGAGGAAAGAGGCTGATAAATGAAACAATGGTATTCCGGGGGATTCTTTTCACTTGAAAGGAAAAAAATGTGTCAGTGCGGTCGTCATTTTAAACCTCGGTCACTACCTGAATGCAAAATTATTTTTCGATGGGGATTTTTCAGTTATTACTTTTCAACATTGAAGTGACTGTTCTTTCATTGTGGGCAACGAGGAATTTTCCTCTTTCCTAAAATTTTGCAAAGTGACACGAGCGCTGTACTGGAGGTCATCTTTGTTCTCCAAATTAGACGATACCCCCCTTGCACTAATGTCAAAAAAAAAAATACATCCACAATTGGAAAGCACCGCCCTTGCGCATGCCAATAAAGAGGTCAGGCTCACCTGCTGCGTTCAGTATTAACTGACAAAATATTACCATTGTATTCATTTTTTCCCGAGGGTTCGGAGTAGTCCGGCAACCATATACATGTAGAGAGTTTCTACGGTGTTCGCGTTTCAAGTGCTAACCCCTAGCTCCTTTTGGTGAGAAACCAATCCTCAATGAAATATGTACTACAGAGCTTGACAAGGAATTCATGCTTACGTATTAAAACTATTCCAGTTGAGCCTCACGAGTGAAATAATAAACACTTTTAAGCTTTCGGCTGTTTTTTTTTTCGTAACTCACATTGCAAGTTCCGGTTTCTGGTATGCGCGCGCGTCAGCAAAATGAAAAAGGTTTTTTTTTTCAATGAAAGATGATGTCTCAAAACCGCCAAACTCACTGGTTTGACTGGAATCCTGCCGCTGCACAATTTTAACGTGTTTTTAGATGGGGTTATGAACGAGAATAAGCTTTATGTGGCTTCTCTGGACTCCCATATATTTGCAATAAGTTTAGTCGGGCACCATTTGCAGACATCAGCCGACATTTGAAGCAAAAAAAAAACAGGTAAAAAAGAAAACAAAGCCGCGTCGCCGCACCACTTTTTGGGCAAGCTCCATACCAGAAACCGGAGACTTTGTTTGGCCTTAGTCCGCCGAGTTTTACCAAAAATTCAACGCAACTTCATTTTCGATTGTAGCTTGCCGAGAGAATCCCTCCTGACGTATCCCAACCCTACCACCAATGCACCCTGTTTCGTGATGATACGAAATGATTATCGACGCATTTGAATCAGTGTTTTATAAACTCAAGAGAAACAGCGAAATCACGAGGTGGCAAAATACAATGAGTCTCTGAGGTAAAACCCCACTTGCGCCGCCCCCACCCAAACTACGTGTATCTTGTAAGGGGAAGTCGTTATCAAAGTCAGTGTCCAGCTCTCCAAGCCGAGGCGAGTTGCCGTAGCCACCGCCACCTATATTGCCACCTGGTCCGTTCCCGTACCCGGCGTTGTCGATCATGTTATCCTCGTAGACCGGTGGTGGTGGCGGTGCTGGCTGATCGTATCGTGGGGGTGGTGGAGGTGGAGGTGGTTGTCCTTGTCTTGGTGGGGGTGGGGGTTGTCTTGGTGGGGGTGGGGGTGGTGGGGGCGGCCCAGCTGCATAGAAAAATGAAAGAGATTTAGATAATATGATTGGACAGGTTGTCGAGAAAATGTATCGATGATTAAACAATTAACGTAGGCTATCGTCATTGTTCCAGTCGTTACAACTACGCCCCCTTAACCGTTGCTGATGCCACGTTGCGAACTGGAAGAACACAGATTTCTTCCAAACTAATTTGCTTCCCGCGTATATAATATGCAGTGTCATTGTCTAGCCCAGGTTGGACGAAGTCTTCATTGCAATACGACGTAGGGAGGAAAGGGAGTCCACCAGGGCTATGTCATTGTCCTCCTTTAGAGTCTTGACAGAACTTCAACTCAAAACTTTGGCTGTAAGTCGCTGTTTAGTCACTAGGCTTCATTACATTATACACCTACTTCTTAAAGCCACGTGATCGACCCTTACCGTTTGAATAACCGCCTCCGCCTCCTCCTCCTCCTCCTCCAGCGCATGGTGAACTTCCACAGGTTTCGTCCACTTCCATGAAGTCGCCCGCTCCACAGTCCGTGCCGAGTCCCTCGCCACTCGCCTGCACGCATTCGCGCCAACGGACGCGAGAACCGCCGCCGCAGGTCTTATCACACGAGTCCCAAGGTTCCCATTCGTTCCAGTGGTCTCCGGAGGCCCAAACGCCGACCGGGAACTTGCTTGGAATGATGGCATCTATAGTTGGCAAAGAAGGGGACTTTTGGTTAGTGTGATGTTTGTCTTCGAAGATGGATTTAATGGTATAGATCCAGAATAAGGTATAGGCCTATCGAAACACTTCAACTCTGAATTGCCTTACCTTGCAGAAAAACAGCAAGCAGCAAGTACAGGACAGACGACCCCACCAAATGAAGGCCTACACTCTTTCTTTGGCTGCCCATCTCTTGAAACGTTTCTTCTGAAATCAGGTCGAGATCTGGATTTACAAGAAATCAAACAAACCTGTTTTATGAGTTCAATGTTGACAAACAAAACTCCAAAAATGGTGCAAAGGTACAGGATGGAGGCTCAAAATACTTGATCCGTACGCTACGCGTACGTCGTTCTTTATAAACCAACGCGCGCGTTACAAATACGTTACGCGCGTGACCATGCAATATGGCTCCTTTTTTCAACGTGGGAGGCACTGCGTCTTTTTAGCGTTGCGCGCATCAAAATTTCAAATAGACAAACGTCTTGAGATTAAATGCGCGCGCTTGTCCTTGATTTTAATTTAGTGTGTGCTACCACATAGCATACAACTGCATGTCAAAAATTCTTAATTTACTACAAAACGATTTTTAGTAGGTGGTTCTCAGCAGTATAGCGACTCGAAATGCTTCAAATGAACATGGTTTCTTAAAACATGAATCTACACTGGGGAATGCCGTGCAAGGCATACTGGCTAGCGATTCTCCTGTTCGTCTCAACAGCTATCAGTGGACAAGGTAAAGTAAGACTAAGTTTCCAAACCAATGTTACCGCACAAACGCCCTATAAATTTAGCTATTTCCATGCAGAAACATTGTTCATTGTACTTGGTAGGCTTATGGCCCAATCCCGAAGCCTATACACATAGAGCTTCAGGCTCCGATTTGATGTGATCGGTGCTTAGCCTTACATGCCTTAGGCCTACAAGATAAAAGCAAAACAAAAGTGGAAAAGATAAAACTTGTACTGGGAATATGGGCTCTAAGAGGCCTAGGTCTAGGCCTACTTCGTTTATAGCCTATTCATAGGTATTTTTATTTATCTATTTATTTATTTATTTTATATATATTTATTAGATCTTACAGGCGACTTTGAAGAATTTCCCCCTGTAAACGCAAGAAATGCTGCGGACGATCTCGGGCCGAGTCAGGATTCTGGTTCAGGTGAGCCAAGCCCGCCGCTCATCAGTTCTGCTCCTAACACACACTGCTCCTAAAGGATCATAACATTTCTCACAAGTTCATAATCAAGCCAGGGATGACGTCAACAAGTTCTTCAGGTTGATTGGTCGGGCGGCATTCGCATTTCTATTTATATGCATAAATTACATAGGCCTAGCATCTTAATTTACACAATTGATATTTGTTTTATATTGCAGATTTACCGTACAATGCACAAGGCTCAAGCTCAAACATGGAAGCCGCAGGTCCAGGTAAATTAACATTCGATCTCAAGTTCATCAATTTCTGTAAGTTGTGTTGCCGACAAAAAAAACCCGGAAAATGTCAGTCATCTGGCGCCTATTTTCAAAAGGAAATCACTTGTTTCTTTTGGAGACAGGCGCATCGTATGACACAGGCTCAAGTTCAAGAAATCATCCCAGCATGCACGCCGGCGGTCCAGGTAAATGACAACTTTCGTCTAAACTAAAAGAAATTATTAAACTTTCAAAATTGGAAAATTTCAGTCGACCACTTTCAACAGGAAATCAAAAACTAAATCAAGATACAATCGCAAGATGCAAGCCGGCGGTCCAAGTATTCACTATTTCAATCTCTACCCATCAATTATTATTTGTTTGCTGATTACAAAAACTGGAGAATTCAGTCAACTACTTTCAATAGGAAATACTGATTTTTATTTCATATACAGGCGCATCTTACGACGCAGGCGGGCCCAGTGCACAAAATGGTCCAGGTAGGTCTTGACCAGATTTTTTTTTTTTTTTTTTTTGGGGGGGGGGGTATCCCCAATCAAACCATTTATCTTTATAACATTTATGATAGAGGCAGATATGCATTAACATGGCGTATTGTCCATTCATTAGTTAAACGTCTTCTCATCGCAGGTGCATCTTACGATCCTTCAGTGAGGTCGAACGTAAGAAATTATCCTGCCGAACCCCGTCAGAGCTTCGACTCGGGTGAGATCACCGTAAAAACTGTTGCACGTAAACATATGTTTACCAATGTTAACAAAAATAGCCAGCGCTAATCATTTAGTGTTTACATGTATATTTTATTTCTGTTCTCATCAGTCTTTCCTTTTTCATGATAGGCCCAGCGTATGGTGCCAATGACCTTCCACCCAAGGGGAGAAATAACCCCGCTGGAAATTCGGGAAGTAGGCCTACTGAAGGTAAAATGACGGCAGTGTCATACTATAGTGTAAACCGTTCTTAAGACTTAGGATTGGATATTCTATAAGATAAAGAATTATGCATCCTGACGCCACTTTTTTTTCATTAGTCTATAGCAAGACACATTAGCAACAGGCCTACGTTTAACTTTACAATTTTTGAACCTTCATTTTAAAAATAGACCCGATTTTTCGAACTTATTCGAGCTATGATGCATTTTGTTAGGTGGTGCAACGATTCAGGAAATGGTCGTCATGGCAGGTATGACCGTGGTGTTGAATTGTTACGCCGATTGGTACATACAACAGCATCCGACAGCGTCTGTGGTATGGTACCGCAATGACCAACTAGTGGATGTAAGGGGTAAGCCAATAAAAACACAACAACAACAACAGCAACAACAACAACAACAGCAACAACAACAGCAACAACAACAAAAGGTCGAAATAAGTGAGAACAACCATTCATCTGTATCTCTTGAATTCTGTGTCACTACACCGCATCGCACATTTTGAATCCAAATCAAACTTCATGCTCCCACGGGTACAATGTCAGTGTTAACTTTAGTGGTTAAAACATTGCTCTTCAAAGCACAAGCGGTATTTTGGGAAAAAAGGAGTATATTTGTCTTAATAAGTTTAGCTAGACCTACGATACGATAAAACTGGAAGAAAAAGTGCAGGCCCCTAGAGCAACCTTGATCCAGGACGTACCCTGAGACGTACTACAACAAAAGGGGTGTCGGACGCTTCGCCCCATTTCCACGTCGCCCCATGTCACTTCGCCCCTAACCACTTCGCCCCATCCCCACTTCGCCCCATCCCCAACCTCGTCCCCAGGGTGTCGAGCAGTACGCGCCCACCACTACCTGCTCTCTCACCCTGGTATTGGATCATTTGCATGTGCTAGATTTTTGCACACGTATGCAAATGAGGAACAGTCTGGTGCCTAGATATGCGTTACACATTAGCGTTTGTTTTTGTATGTGGTGTCTGGGGTAAAAACAGAGTCAATTCGTAGCAGCGCGAGCATGGCGTGAGTTACGAAAACACGATTTTTGAAATCAAACTGTTACGATCTTATCGAGACAACATGCAGTATCATATTTCACATTAATATGAGCAAATTGGAAGGGAAATTAGTATTTTCGAGAAGGCGTGGACGAATGATCGCGAAAACACGTACTGCACGTTGTGAATATATAGCACCAAGTACACGATAAAATTCCATTACTAGCCAATTGCGGTATCCAATCAGGATACAGGAAGAAAGTTTCCTATCCAGGGTTTACTATTGGAAACGCGGTTGGAAATAAAGTATAGCACTGGGGACGAGGTTGCCCCATCCCCGCTTCGCCCCATCCCCGCTCTGCCCCATCCCCGCTTCGCCCCATGTAGATTGGTTCCTCCAAGAGTGAAATTAGGATGTCCAAAGGTATTTTCGTTCTCTATAAGTGGGAACAAAATTGGATCTTTTACTTCAAGCTTTTTTTCTCGGTATAGGGAGAGTGATAGCTTGAGAGGTTGGTTATGAATTGTTCATTTGGTGGGCTAATTCTTTCCGTTGGTAAGCAATTATAGTCCAGCGGATATGTGACAAAATATCGATGAATTGTGTTCGAGATGGCTCCACATCTGGAATTTTTTGTCTCATGAATATAAACGTCTGTGGGACGTTTTATTCGTTCATGAAATATGGGCACAATGTTTTCCAAAGTGGGCATAATAATTACCCCCCTTTTCTTTTAATGGCTGCCACGCCCCTAAAAAGGTACTTTTGTGGTGGCTCCGAATCTGGAAAACACTAATAATCTATATAATTATGTCTTTGTGAAGTTTCCTGCTTTTGTAACAAGTGGGAAAAACCATTTTTACTGCGGGCATGACAAGTCCCGCCCCCCTTTTTTTAAATGGATGCCACACCCCTAAAAAGGTAAATTTGCGATGGCTCCACATCTAAAACATTTTCTCGCATGAATATAGACATCTGTGCCAAGTTTCACGCTTTTATGCAAAAGTGCACAATTTTTTCACATATCCGCTGGACTAGTGAATCTGTTGGAATTGTTTTTAAGCCAATAAAATACATGTAGATGAGATTTTTTTTTTTTACATGTAACGGCTGGGGTGAAGTGGGGATGGGGCGAAGTGGGAATGGGGCGAAGTGGGGATGGGGCGAAGCGAGGATGGGGCGATGTGGGAATGGGGCGAAGTGGGAATGGGGCGAAGTGGTTAGGGGCGAAGTGACATGGGGCGACGTGGAAATGGGGCGAAGTGTCCGACATTCCAACAAAAGTATAGAGGGAATTTTGTTGTTCGTGTTTTGGCGCGCATGTTCTTGTTTTGCCTCATTTCTGCAGCCGGCAACCGACAGCTGATCAACATGGCGGATCTACAATTGGGATTCGTGACGGGAAGGGACGAGGGCATCTACGCATGCGCCTTTGAGAAAGGCGTCTACAACACTGTTATCCTCTTCAAAGGTACATTTAAGTTTGTAGTGGTTCATAAACGCTTGGTTATTAAAAACAAAAATGGCGGGAACTAATTTTAAATCCCATTCGTCAGTCGTTGTATAGTCACACATTAAGTCACCTATCATTTCAGTATAAAAGTTGATTTTATTTGGTTGCAGAAAAAAAAATCCTCGGTCAGGTAGTTGTATTTGAATCATTCAAGTGTTTATTTTCTCACTTTTGTTTGACAGTGAACCAAATTATCGACCACATTTTGGACGAAGGTAAGTAGTCGACGTCATGACTCGTTTCAAACGAAATATATTTTCCCCATTAAATAAAGGTTATATTAAACGCAGAATGTCACGGTTCGATACAAACTGGGTCCGGATACATGAACTTGATCGTAAGATGTCCTCCGAGGATATTTGTAAGTGTGCAAGGACCACAATCACGTTTCGTAATTTGTTTCATCCATTTAAAATAAAACTAGAAAGCACATGGAAAAAAACAACAGATTGTTGATATTTTTTTACTCCAGATAAGATCCAATTGATACATATCTTCTGGCCTATCTCTCTACCGATTTTGCTGTTGTCTGCTGCTCTCTGCTCCATGAGGGGTGAAATAAAACGGTGAGTTCCCCTGGACGATGGTTCGGGTTAACCCTCCATTTGTGCCCCTAGCACCCCACCCATATCTTGGCAAGGGGACGTTTGTCGAATGAGTATGTAATGCCTAAATTCCAATTGATAAAAAACAATGCCATGTGGCCTAACAAGACAAGATAGTTTTGATGGACAAGAAAGGTGTTCTGTCTTGCCAGGATGATGAATTATCTCGTGATGAATTATCTCGTCGGAATATTAACGGCCCGGTGAATTTTGCCAGTGCTATATACAAAGTTCTGTTTTGTGTCATTCATTTAATGATTTGACCATGATACAGGATAAAATCAGGATAATAAGTACACAATACATTAGCCTATAATTTCTTTGAGAAAGCGTTGATACTGTTTAACTGTGCAATGTGTTTGCTTGCAAAGATACAAGAGAAAAGGCATGCCGCCTGAGGTGGTGGCCGAAATCAAGCAGAGGAAGCTGGAAAACAAACGCAAGAAGGAAGATGCCAAACTGGAGGCCAAGAGACAAAAACAAGACAGGAAGCAGCAGAAGAAACAGAAGAAAGCTGCACCTGCTGCTCCTGCTGCAACATCGGCCGCTCCTCCAGAACCTGATCCTTGGGGTGCTCCACCTGCACCGAGTGGAGCACCACCTCCACCCCCTGGCCCTGGAGCACCACCCCCACCCCCTGGCCCCGGAGCACCACCCCCACCCCCTGGCCCAGGAGCACCACCCCCACCCCCTGGCCCCGGAGCACCACCCCCACCCCCAGGCCCTATGGCACCAGGCCCACCCCCTCCAGGACCCCCCGTGGGCATGGCTCCCGGTCCCCCTGCCCCGCAGCATGAAATGGTACCGACTCCCATGGCTTTGATGATGGGACAGGGACCCCCCAGCATTGGTGCGCCACCTCCAGCTCCACCCGGTATGATGGGGCCACCCCCTCCTGGCCCCCCTATGGGCCCTCCTATGGGGGCTCCCCCAGCTGCACCTCCTATGGGGGCTCCCCCGGCTGCACCTCCAATGGCACCCCCAGGAGGGGGTGGTGGCGGACCCCCTCCCCCACCCCCACCTCCCCCTTGAGCCAGTCCCTCTACGCACTTCCTATAATGGGTCCGATTTCCTGCGTTACCTGTTTCGACATTAAAAATTCACTCAACTTTTGTGTATTTTGAAGCGTTTGTTTCCAAAACAGATACACACCACTTTGTTACCTTCTGAAATCCAGCCCCTTTTGGCTGCCCAAGGTCAGTTTTGACAGCTGTTATATACTTAAATACAAGTAGAGAATGTAGTTTAAAAAAAACAACCTGTTATTCTGTGTGTGTTCTATAAGTTTTTATAACGTGCAACCTTTTCACCTTTTTCAAATGGATATGTGTTTTGGAATTAAACTTCCTTTGTTTTCCGAACAACATGGTTTCATTAATTTGGAAACATTTATATTATAATGATAAATTTAAGTAACATAATTTCATTGTTCTTCATTGTTGATTAGCAGTTTGATGTTTAGCACAACTAACTCCCTGCTGTCTTTTACTAAGTACTGGACACATTCCACCAAAATCCATCACTGACCCTGCTTCACATAATGCTTCAGGACTAAATCCGCTGAAATCCACCACAAGACCACCACTACTTCAGGTGGATTTTGATGGACTTGGTACAGATGGCTTGTCTGCCAAAATCCCCCCAAGGGGAGATGGATTTTGATGGAGTTGGGAAGGTTTATAAGGTTAAAAGTGCTACTCAACTAACGTTGTGCTTGTTTTTGACTTTTCCATTTTCTCCTTGTCTTTATTGTATGAAGCCATGAGCAAAAGTATCCTTAATTGATGTTGCAAGAATGTTTATATGACCAATAATAATTTTTCACGAATAGACACAATTTAATTGAGGCTCAGCTCCAAGTATAGAAGCCTACTTTCCAATTCAAGTTAAAACAAACTCCTTATTCAACCCTCGATTCCTTTTATCGTATTCAATTATTGAATTTATTAATTACATTTCTTCCTGATACTGTTAGGTCACATAATTCTTGGAACCTTAAAAATACAAGTGACATTTTGTACAACTGTAATGACGGGGGCGTTATCTTACAATGGTATAATCAGGCTACTACATGTAGGGCAGAAGACAACATGTTTATAATTCAGTCGGAAAAAAAATATAAAATAAAATAAAAACATTGTCAAAAGAAATGTTGCCCACAATGCAAATGTAGTAGTTAACAGATTTTTTTTGTTAACATGGATTTGTTTGTACAATACTACATAGTGACACTAGTTTGACACTTAACTTAAAAAAAACGTAAGAACATGACGATTTGTTGCATATGCCATACCCGCGATCTCCTGCTGGGTTCTAACCCCCCTTCCACCACCACCCCTACCCCCCCCCCCCCAAATAAACCCCAAAAAACTTCACTTAACGAGACAAGAGCACAACATGAGACAAATCACATTAATGCATGAAGAACATATACAGACATCACAAAAACAACTCAAGTTAAAACACAAACAACTGAAAAGACAAAAACGCCACAAATTCAAACAACACAAAAGCAAATAAAAATCTAACCAACTGGTATCGTAATTCAATCTAATAAGCAACACTCCCCTTCTTATCATCTCAAAAAGCTGCTACATGTACATGTACATAACTTTGGCCACTTCCAGTATTGAACTAGTATCTCTGAAAAAAAAAAAACTTCATAAATGCACACACTCTAAACAATCCTCAGAAATAACCTGGGCCCGATTTTGTGGCGCTGCTAAGCACACAATTGTCTGCTTACAAAGCCTCTGTCTATTTCATGGAGACCGTAAGCAGTAAGCACAGCAAAAGCTCGCTTAACCCCAGATGAAAAAAGCTGCTTAAAGAGGGACAAAATAATTGAAATCTCCATGCGTGTGCAACCGTAAGCACATCCATGCCATGAAATATGGCTAAAAGTTAGCACAATTTTCTGCTGTAGTATGCAAATTTTCTTTTTTTCCCTGTTAACTGTTAAAGGGAATATACAACATTTGCAAACATCGAAAAATAAAACTACCAAGTTTTTACGAAATACCGCACTAGGATGTTGGTTAATGACAGTCTCAAGCATCTTGTAAAATTATGGCACCTGGTGTGAAGTCATTTTCAAGAAAATGGTATTTTTGTATACATTTCCAATGGTGGTCGGCTGACCAGTGTTGGAAAAACCTAACTATTTTTCAACTACTGCTCCAAATTGACCATTTTTTTCAGTTCAAATTTTGTTTTCTATTGGTTACATGTTCATGAACGGGTGCAGGCCAGCTAGACTGGTTCCATTGCCTCACAATTTTCCATCATCCATAAATTGATCCATTTTATCTTTTGTGGAGTCAGGGAACCAGACTAGTTGAACATTTTTGTTTTTCTTGGTTTTTCCAACCTTTTCGAACACAAAACTTCAAAAATGTCAGTGTAACAATGTTTGATCTATTATACTAACCCCTCAAATAGTTCATTTCTGAAAATTACAGCAAAAAGCCAATGATGTACATTCCCTTTAAGCAGCGCCATGAAATCGGGCCCTGGAGTTGTTTACACTCTAGTGATATAACGTAATAAATTTAAAATTTAAACTTGGTCATTTTTGGATCCTCGTACTTTAATTTTCCAACCAGCAAGAGCATCATATTTCAGGGACACGCAGCATGCAAGAACGGAGGAGTACAAATTCACAAAACTATTATGTAACTCATATATCATTATTCACATTTAAGTTGGGGAAAGTTCTTTAATTTGCTTTTGAAAAAAATTACAAGTACACATAATCACTTTACTCATGTAAAAAAAAATCTTTTTGGCATTTTTTTCTCAAATTGAGCACTCTGCCCACTACCACAAAGCAACTGTTTCAGTAATGTCAAACACCCCCCCCTTAAACTTTTGGCAAGGACGCTACATGTTTGTATCTAGTGTCCAAGATTTTATGACTTAATTAAAAGTCTGGGTCCTAGTTTGGCTTTTACTGCGGACATCACAAAACAGTACCACTACCATTTTGGTCATGTCCACCATGTCAAATTTTTTATTTGAAAAAATAATAAATCGACCACTGAATCTGACATAATGGTATCTGTTTAATAATAAAGATGTATTGGTCATAATTACAGGGATGTTTCATTAATTAAAGGGATGTTCCATTTGGCCCAATCACAGACATTTGACCCCTGACCTATAGCCAACGCGATCATCCATCAGTTCCAACAATATCTATATATAAATTTTGTATTTTGTTTTTGTTTGTACTTTTTCATACAAATTACTATGACAATAATAATAACATGTGAATGTACATACGCAGCCACCAATGGAAGTTTGTTTTGGGGTGGAGCTACGTTCTGTGGGCGGCTTGGAGGACGTTCCTTCGCAGCACTGAGCGGACATCGCTGGTGAATCTCATGGCATCTAGGATCGGAAGTAAGCTCAGGAGACCGATGTCGGTTGGATCTGAGAGCCAGGATTTAATGGGAATCCCATTGTCTGGAAAGAAAGGAAAAATCTAGTTATAGGTCTTTCTCATATGACATCATTTGCTACATACAAGCCACATGCATCGGCATTTTGATATAATGCATAATGCGCATCGGCTGCATCATATTTCGAACATATTTCGAGCAGCAAGCGCGCGTGTTTGGAGCATTTTCAACACTGCGCAATGCGTGCTTGATTGCGTAAGATACGCAGTTGCAGTTCTCCTACAGACATGGCCGTCTTTGAGAGGGAGTGAGGGACCTATTATCCCTTGCACATTAACCCTTAGCCTGCAACATGCAACATGGTGTAAATGTATGTGTATGTGTTATTTATGTGGAATTTTTGTATGTTTGTGTATGTGTTATTTATGTGGAATTTTGAAAGATGTACATTTGTGACTGGTGATTAACATTCTTGTGTTTTGTTTTTTTTGCAGTCTTTTTGTTGTTGTCTTTTTGTCCGTGTGTCCTGTGCAGGCCCATGAAGAAGAAGATGAAGGTCTCTGGTGCAGAAGAAGACGCCGGGCAGTTTTCGTCAATTTAAAAGTTAAGTACTTGTAAATTTTACCCCCTCTTGAACTCAGGTCTGAAAAGTTGGATCACTGTCCTCAGATCTGGGGGCAGGACAACCGTGTTGTTTTGTTTGATGTAATGTGGGCCCTTGTCTCTGTGTTGAAGTCAAAGAATTGATTTCCGAAGCCCGCGATCTAGCCACTTGCAACACTTGCGCAAAATGTCTGAAATTATGCAACTGAAAGTTCTTATATTTTGGGAGCTTTATTGTATGACAACAAGTCGAAACTTGAGTGCGCGCCGCATGAAAAGAGCAACGAAATAGCATCGCGTCTGGCTGGAAATGAACTCTTTCTTTGTATGTGTATGTGTTATTTATGTGGAATTTTGAAAGATGTACATTTGTGACTGGTGATTAACATTCTTGTGTTTTTTTTTTGCAGTCTTTACATCTGTAGGGCCTTGCCGTATTGGGTCATCAATACCAGTGCATAAACAGCCACTTCTGAGACAATAAGTGGGCGTGGACATCTGGCATTTTTTTATATTTGCTTATCTAGCTCCCAGAACTATGTTCTTGAAACTCGATGGTTCTTGAGTCTGGAGTGCTGAATGGTAACACACAGCAACCGATGAAAACTGGTGCGCAAATGAATAGATGTTTTCATCGGATGACGTTATCCTGCCCGCACCTATAGACATTATCATATCCATCATCTTGATTTTTTTCCATTGAAATCAGTGTAACCAAAGCGAGGTGGGAAGGAAAAGGAAAAATAGTCTGGTTCCTTTTTGCACAAAAAACATTATCATTCAGAATTTCAGTACTGTTATTGGATACAGGGAACATGAATAAAATGGTGGCAGCATGATGAAGGCCTACGGGCATGACCGATGGCAGCCAGACCCGTTGACGAATGCAACTGCCGTAAACTGTTGCAGTTTGCAACCACAGACGCCGAGGCTTACTAGACACACAGAGAGACAAGTCTTTATTTCTTACTGACCTGGATACAACTTGTACGCCCCCGGCGAGTTGTCCACAATAAAAATACTGGAGAGGTCTGAACTGACCGCTGATAAATCTTTTGTGTAGCTGCCTGAATCTAACGTGCAGTGCTGTTGATAAGGACAAAATGAACAGATGAAACTTAAGCTCACTGACAGAACCATCGATTGTCTAGTCAGAAGAGGAGTATTTCTATAGAGAACATAATCTGTCAAATAATAGGGAAACCGACTTGGTTTTCTTTCAGTTAATTCTTCAGTTGAACAAGAAATGACTAGCAAAATTGAGGTTGAAGGTTTAATTCCGCTGCAGACAAATTCCCACTTTACCTAAAAATTTGAGCATTGAACTCATTAATTAAAGCTATAGTCCATCATTTGCATCTATCCAAAAAAGTAACTGGCGTAATTATTGTTGAAAAACATACTGGTTGAAAGATAGTAAGGGGACTAAACTCCCTGTGAAATTATCCTTTCTGGCAAGCTCTCATTTTGAAGAAATCAGCGAAAGAAGGCATTTCCAACGGTGCTTCTTAAGAAGCACCGTAGGAAAATTTAAATTAGTTGTTCGTTTTGTTATTCGGCGCAGCGCGCACAAGCATTGGAACGACGCACAGGCGCGCGCGGTTGCTATGATTCTTCGGATCAGTGCGCGACATCGCGTAAAGCTGTAATTCAAAACAAATCGAAACATGATTTAGCAACTTTTGATTTTAAATTGAGATCCTAGAATGCTGTTTTTCTCGGAATATGAAGCTGAAGCTGAGCTGAAACTTCATCAGGTTAGTTGTTCAGTATCCTTCATTAGATTTTGAACACTTTTGTTGCTTCAAACGAACAAAATGCACTAATTACAAATGATGGACTATAGCTTTAACGCATGATCACAGCCAAGAAAGTTCAAAGGTCATCCGTCAAGTTAAAAGAGGGCGCTGTTCCCATGAAAAAAAGTGAACAGGGCCACATCCACATAACTTGACTTTTGCTGGCAATCACGCATACGGCTATGGAAGCGGCTCAAGCGGCTTCCCATAGATGCGTGTGTTACTGCAAGCCACAGCCACTAATCAAAGCCAAGTCATTCAGACACAGCATTGTCAGCAAACACACACTGCATGGTGATAAGTCAGCCATACCTGTCTATAATAACGTCTTTTAAGTATGCCCCTGCCGTTGTCCAGTTTCTCAGCGACTGGTGACCCGTAGATTTCCATACTTGCTGTAAATATTACAAGATCATACCACCGACTGACCTACACAAAGATAGGAGAAAATGCCAAGATAATAAACAAATATAAGGCCAAAAAAAAAAATATTCGGGTTTTTTTTTCCCTTTTTTTTTTTTCTTCAAGCTTGGATTGTACAGACAAGGTGGGTACTATTTTGCTTTTTTGGTGTCCTCATGTACATTGGTGTCCTCCATAATTTGCCTTGGTGCTATTGATCATTTGCCTTGGTGCAATTTCCCTTTCCTTGGTGCTCTTTGGTAAAAAAAATTGAGGAGGTGCGGAAATAGAGGCACTGTTGGAGCTACCGCGGAAGATTTTGGAGAAAAAAAAAGATCGACGCGCATGATTAAAATCGACGCGCGCGCTGACCAGAGACCGACTTATTTATTTTTTTGGCCTAACACGAAAAATATTGTGCAGGAACAAAACTTGGGCATCAAGCCCCATATAGGTTAATACAGGATTGGCTCTTTTGTTTGAAATACCAGGTGTTTGATTAGATAGAATAGATACGATAACCCTTTCAGTTCTTAATAGGCATTTGATAAAAGAAAAGTGAATACACAAGCATTGCCTGGTTCGCCCTTGTGAAACAGAAATCTGTGATAAACTTGACTGAATATGCATGATCAATGTACATGTACACGTAACGGCATCTGGTTTCAAGATCTCTTTCTCTAGTTTCAGGCAACGATGACACCAAAATGTTTCCTTATATTCAGGTTTACAGACAATGTATTAATTTTTTAATGTGCCACTAAGCATTGATTTGTTCAGTCTCATTAACTTATGAAGTCTGATTTTATGAACTAACTAAACTCCCTAGGCTATTTTGTTAAAATGTAACCTAAATCCTGCAAAACCCTCCAACTGCCTCCATGTACAAATAGCATACAGCCTCAATCCTGCAAAATTCTCTGTTATTTCTTGAATGTGGCCCTTGGAGGGGTGACCAATGCCTCAATCCTGCAAAATCATTCGGCAATCACTGTCAATATGTTGAGGCAGAGCCAGCAGTAAGGAGGATTCCAAGTATAATCTAGGCCTAAATTTATGTACTTCTCAGCATAAACAACACAAGGTCCGGCACAAGATCTTGACATAGTGCATCCTCCAAAATCAGCCACACACTTTTGCCATGTAACCTCAATTCTGCAAAATCCTCCATTTTGCAAAGCGGATCATGGGGGATTTGGGAAAGTTGGGGTTAAATATTTTCTTGTACTTACAACATTGAGGAAGAAGTCTACATGAGGTCTTTTGTAAACGTAAAATCTCTCAGGAAGAGCATCTATTGTAACCTAAAGGAGGAAAAGAAAATATGTCTGGAAATTCAAAACAAGATTTGCACAAGATTATATACAAAATTGTCCAAGGTTTTTGTATAAAATATTCATGCATCAATCAAATCTGAAATAAATCAGATGTCAAAAGGAGAAAATGTTACAAGTGAGCTTTTATGGCTGCATTCCCCCCCCCCAAAAAAAAGCTGTGAAATGTCCTTTAAATAAAAGTTTGATATTAACATTGAAATACCTCCTTGGTTTTTTTTTTCACTTGTTTGTTCCCTTAGTTTTGGAGAAAATGCATATTAAATTGCCTAAAGAATCCTTTATCAATCAATGAAAATAACGCATTGCACAATTGACCTATCATGGTAGAATCACGTTAGAATCGCGTCAACGCAGCTTGTGAAATATTGTGTAATTACATGATATGCAAATGGGGCGGAATGCGCAAAATCTGAGACAAACAAAAAATAGTGTACAAAAACTCCATACATGTAGGTTGTCTAAGGGGCGTGGCTAACTCGCAAACGGCAATAAGTAAATTATCTTTGGCATGTTCAAGCAACTTGAAGAAAGCCCCAGGGATGAGGTTATACAACCTCACTGCCCTCTGAATCTCTCATCGTGCTTACCTTTAGAACAAAATCCGGCGGTATACTGGGTCTGTTGGGCCTCATGAGACTAGCGTGCTGTGAATGTACTAACGTCTCGTCTAAGTCCAATACCATGATCTTGCGTTTCACTAGTGCTGTAAAAACAAGCATTTGGAATTGAACTATTTGAAGGTATGTAAAACAATCCGTTTTCCCGACCTGTTCCCGACGTTAAGTTACTCATTAACTCATTTTGAGGTCACATAATCTTGCTCCTGTTATTCCCCAATTGGGAAGGGGGGGGGGGGGGGTTCACTGGATTTAATCCACCCCTTCTATTCCACTCTGCAGACCGATAGTGGAGCCATGGGAATTACTAGGGATCTCGAAGGTGGGTCCAAATTTGAGTCGTACTATAACTGTGTGTGGAAGTTGCATACTTACAGAGTTTGTGTCTTGAAAGAGGTGAGAGTGGTGCATTGGCGTATCGGATTGTCTGGTACTGAATAACCTGCAAACAAAATTTGTTGAAACACAAATTAACGCAAATTGAATTTGAAGTCCTCTACTTACATGTACTAACCAGGGCTAGTTTAAGTGAACTTAAAGGGAAAGTACATCATTGGCATTAGTAAACGTTAATTTGCCAGATATGCACTGAACATGCGCAGTTACTGTTTTTTTGTACTTAAACATTTTCCGGTGACAAATTTTAGTCTGGCTCCATGCCAAAATTATCGTTGTAACCTCGTATTCACAAGATGGGATTCAGACTATTTTATAATTTCGGACTATATTTCCCTTTTAAAAAAAATCCTCTAGAGCCACAAATCTGAAAAAGAAAATGTAATACTCTGCAAAAAAATGTTTGAGACATGTTAAAATAATAAAAGAAGAATATTCTTATTATTTGGGGATGAGAAAAAAAAACTTAAAAAATGTGGTGCGGTCGGACTCGAACTCGAGTCATCCCGCTTACTAAAGCCTTTGCTTAACCACTACACCAAACGTGCTACACAACTTTTGGTGGGAATTTAATACATTTTATAATTCAGCCCTATCTTAAAGAGTACAGCGCCCTCTGTTGATATGGATTGCCGCCGGCAAACCTTTAGTAAACGTTAGTTTGCCGTCATTACCTCCGGCAAAATATCCACTATCTTTATTCAATCATAATTATTTAGGCAGTGGATACATTTTGTATTTGACCGTGAACCGTCTCTGATTTTTTTTAGTTCTTTTACCGCCACGACACTGAACATGTGCAGTGAGTATATTTGGGGATTAGAAATTTTGACGGTGACGAATCTTTGTCTGGTTCCATGCTTTCTTTGTCGTTGTGACTTCGTATTCGCGAGATTGGAATCGGACCTAATGCAATTTCGGACTTTATTTTCCTTTTAAAAAAAATCCTCCAGTGATGAATCAGAAAAAAAGAAAATGAAATTATCTGCAATTAAAGGGAATATACAACATTTGCAAACATCGAAAAATCAAACTACCAAGTTTTTGCGAAATACCTTAATAGGATGTTGGTAAATGACAGTCTAAAGCATCCTGTAAAATTATGGCACCTGGTATACTGTCATTTTCAAGAAAAGTGGTATTTTTGTATCAATTTCCAACGCTGATCGGCCGATCAGCGTTGGAAACAACTGGCTTTTTTTCAAATACTGGCCCCAATTGACCATTGCACTTGTTTGCAATCGATTACAAACCTATGAACGGGTACGAGCCAGCTAGACTGGTTCCCTGACCTTACAATTCCCAAATGTATGTAAACTGCTCTGTTTCTTCTTATATGGAGTCAGGGAACCAGACTACAGGAAAATGATCGTTTTTCTTGGTTTTTATAGCATTTTCGAACCCAAAACCTCCAAAAAGTCAGTGTAACTATATTTGCTTTATATTTCCAACCCCCCAATTCCATCCATTTCTGAAAATTACAGCAAAAGCAAATGATGTATATTCCCTTTAAATGTAGGATTCGATTTTAAACAAGAAAGGGAGACAATTCTTAGTTTTTGGGACACACCAATGGCAGGACTCAAACTTGAGTGGCGTGCTTATCCGGCAAAATATCGTAAAAGAAAGCCGGATCCAGCTTAAAGGGAATATACATCATTTGCTTTTGCTGTAATTTTCAGAAATGGTTGGAATTGGGGGGTTGGAAATATAAAGCAAATATAGTTACACTGACTTTTTGGAGGTTTTGGGTTCGAAAATGCTATAAAAACCAAGAAAAACGATCATTTTCCTGTAGTCTGGTTCCCTGACTCCATATTAGAAGAAACAGAGCAGTTTACATACATTGGGGAATTGTAAGGTTAGGGAACCAGTCTAGCTGGCTCGTACCCGTTCATAGGTTTGTAATCGATTGTAAACAAGTGCGATGGTCAATTGGGGCCAGTATTTGAAAAAAAAGCCAGTTGTTTCCAACGCTGATCGGCCGATCAGCGTTGGAAATTGATACAAAAATAACACTTTTCTTGAAAATGACAGTATACCAGGTGCCATAATTTTACAGGATGCTTTAGACTGTCATTTACCAACATCCTATTAAGGTATTTCGCAAAAACTTGGTAGTTTTATTTTTCGATGTTTGCAAATGTTGTATATTCCCTTTAACCACTGCCAAATGGTTGTAATTTTTTTCCTACTTCAGACTTTGTTCAGTAGGCCTACTTGAATTTTGATAAAATTAAAATAAAAATTGAAATCTTTTAGAAAGTTTTAACTGGTTCACGGTCCTATTGGTTTGTGCACAAATTGCCTGGTTTGTTTGTCATTCATAACCAAGATTCATTGAGAATATCGAAATTGTTTACATGGTTTACTCAATGCAAACGAAGCCATTCAAAAATGAACGAACGCAAAATGAAGTGGACTTACCTTTCTCGTGTTTTTCCGTATCAAATAACACAGGGCCTCCCACAGTTTTGACGCGACCAAAAACACCATCCGAACGCCCATCAGGATCACTGTTCGCATCGACATTCGTGCGGCAGAGGTTAAGCAGGCTCTCAATATTCAGCCAACGTCGAAAAAGTTAAGTTTCAGTTTGAAACGGGGCCGAATTCTCCCATTACATTCAGTGCACAAAAGTCACTTCCAGGGTCGCAGTCGCCATTTCTATCCCATGATTCCCTTTTTCCGGGCAAAGTGTGTTAAGTCTGGTTGCGCGTAACCTCCATTGAAAACTGCACAAATTGATGAGGCGGAAACGAGACTCCAAAGCTCGAAGTCCTTTAATTTGTTTTCTGAGTCGGCCCGGTAAAAAAAAACCCATTGAAATGAATTAAACGGGGCAGTGGGGCACCGCACCGATTCATTATTTCATTGCTGTTTTCTTTTCTTTCCTCTTTTCGCGTTACTTTGGCCATATTTAAACATGGCACAGATTATTGTCTCCTAGTTTTGTTTCATGAAGAAATGAATTAGTTTGTTTCAAGGGCGTAAATCCGGGGGGGGGGGGGAGGGGGGGGGGGGGGGGGGGGGGGGGGGGGGGGGGGGGTATAGTATCCCCCCCCCCCCCCACTGTTGGGGGGGGGGGCTGTTGAATCATCCCCCCCCCCCACACACACACACACACTTTTCTGTGATGGGAAAAAAAAAAAATAGGTATTTTTAGAACATCCCAACAATCCAAATTGTATTGAAAAGTGGAGAAACAAAGTCCAAAAGCTCTTAAAATCCGCTGTTTTGATGATGTAAGCGCGAATAAAGATGTTGATATACATGCACATCTATATCCTTAGGAGCGCCCCATAGCAACGAATATGCTACGAATATGAACAAATCACTATTTTTCCAAAAGTAGACCTATATGGAAATTATTTTTCATGGAATTAAAAAAAAATTTAAAATGTGTCTTTCGTTTTCTTCGTGGAGATTACACAGAATAAAGTTGCCTCAGTTGCCTGTATTTTGCTTCATGTGTCATAATTATGATGCTCGACCCTGATATAGCTGGGAAATTAAGGCAATTTTCTTGGGCATATTGACGGAAAAGACAGTCTTGTAGCCAGTACAGTGGGATTTCCCAATCATATACATATATAATTTTCTGATTTCGCAGGAACTTCAGCAGAATTTTTACTTTTAAAACATTAGCTAAGACATGAATTGCCCAGCTGCCACACAGACTGAAGAACTGAAGTCAGACTTTGTACCCTAATTGACCCCTCCCCCACCCTCCCCACAAAAAGGGGAAGTGCACGCGCTGTCACCCCCCCCCCCCCCCCCCCCCCCACACACACACACTTGACATTTAGTTATGCTTGAAAGAACTCGTGGTTAACCAAACACAATGTCAGTCACCTCTTACCCTAACAAAGGAGCCACGAATTAACCTTGGAGGAAACATCCCCCCCCCCCCAATTCCGTTATTAACCCCGCACCGCCCCACCCACATTATTCTTCCCCGGCTCAGCGCTCCGGCCGTATCCGCTGATCGAGATTTTCACTGGTATTCAGACTCAGTCCGCAAGACGTAAGTGCATGTGTCGTTTACCATCGTTCCGGATGTAATTGATTGACAGGTCAGCGTCATGGCAGCGAACAATCGGTGATGTCATTTGTCAGCCGCCGACAAATTTACGCTTTCTCAAGCGGCAGTTTACGGTTACATTGGGTGAGAATTTAACATAAATGTTGTGCCGACATACTGAGATAGTTATTGTACCAAAATGATGGCTTTTGTGACGAAACCAATGGGATTTTCGATGGGAGCAACTGCAACAGGTGAAACTGCATACGCATAAACGTGTTAAATGCCCGGCTATGTTATGTTGCGTGATAAGTAGTGACTATGACTGCACAGTTCATGATGAAACAAGGTCACACTTGTCACACTGTGCCGACATTCAATGTGGTATTTCAAGAAATGAAAAAAATTATTCTTTTCCTGCTGGTAATTAGTTTGTAAATTCCAAAACATAAAAGAGTCTTTTTTTAAATGGAACAGGGTTTAGCTTGAGTCAAGCCTCGAGCATGTCGATCGTCGAGTAACTCCAGCTCTAGCTCTACTGAGTGTAGCCCCACTAGTGTGGCCGTCGGTATGCTGCGCTGAACCTTTGGCCACACACCGTGGTACCGCGCGCTACTGAGGACGAAGTTTTCATAAAAATTCAGGGCAGTTTCTTACATTCTCAGTTTCTTACTTTCTTATGGTTGTATTCTATGATGTCTCACCTGTCACTTCTGGGATGCTTACTAGGTCTTATGATGTTCCATTTTCCGAGATATTCTTCAATCTTTCTGGAGCCCATATGCACTCGTGAAACGTCTGGTGGTGGCAGCCATTTTGAATGTGACAGGAGATGACCTCAAGCTGTGACGTCGCGTTTATGCAAATTGCTTGTCGAGCGCGCGAGGGCGCGAGTTGCAAATGCGACGGCTGTTTCCTGTGCCGTAGATCCTGAATAGAGATCGGTGCACGTGGCCCCCTGACGATAAATGCATGGTACAGGAAACAGCCGTCGCATTTGCAACTCGCGCCCTCGCGCGCTCGACAAGCAATTTGCATAAACGCGACGTCACAGCTTGAGGTCATCTCTTGTCACATTCAAAATGGCTGCCACCACCAGACGTTTCACGAGTGCATATGGGCTCCAGAAAGATTGAAGAATATCTCGGAAAATGGAACATCATTAGACCTAAGCATCCCAGAAGTGACAGGTGAGACATCATAGAATACAACCATAAGAAAGTAAGAAACTGAGAATGTAAGAAACTGCCCTGAATTTTTATGAAAACTTCGTCCTCAGTAGCGCGCGGTACCACGGTGTGTGGCCAAAGGTTCAGCGCAGCATACCGACGGCCACACTAGTGGGGCTATACTGAGTGGAGCGCTGAATTACGGGTGCCCCTCCATACAAACGCTCCACCGATTCGCCATACTTTGGTAGCACCATCACAGTAGCATAGTCACAAACCCACGCGAGGACAAAAAGACCCCAAAAATCCGGTAAAGAGATTACAAATGAGAGAGACAGTTATCCTGGATTGATCTATACATTCTTGACATTCCATGAGACCCCTTATATTGTTCCCAAACAGCGAACATTTTGGGAAAAAACAGCAAAATAGTCTGAAAACTTACAGTTCAATGTGTTTGCATGGAGGCTCAGTTCTTGAATTTGCTTGTCAATGAGGGCGTCTGACGTGACGTCACCGTCATTGCTCGATCGCGAAGAAAAACAAGTCGCGCTTTATCTACGACTGTTTTGTGTAATAATACGTGCTCCTTGGGTGTGTTCAAAGCCCATACTGTCGTACGGCGATGGCGAATCGGTGGAGCGTTGGTATGGAGGGGTACCCGTAATTCAACGCTCCACTCAGTAGAGCTACTCCAGCTCCAATGCTATTCACAAAGTGCGATAAGCATTGGACTCGGAGCTGGCGTTACTCAAGCTAGAACGGGGTCTTAAACTACATACACTAAACAAAAAAGATTGTTTTTAAGAAATTATAAAAAACAAGGGAAAGATTCCCGTATCTGGCCATCAGTAATTTTTCCCTTAAATGACCTATCAGCCATCAGAAAGTGATAATATGTCCTTAAAAGTCAAAATTAGCAAGGAAACATTTTGAATTTTTACTGAGAAAACCCTTAGAAATTTTCAGACCAGTCCCATAGGGTTTGTGCACAGGGTGACAAGTGATGGCCAGATATGGGAATCTTTCCAAAACGAGTTAGGGACTGAGGCATGTTTCAATTTTGTTGCATTCTCTCCTAAAAATATTCACAACTCCCCTGGGATTTAGTATGCAACCACTGCCAAAGTGGCTTCAGAATATTACATTCTCTCCCCTGGTCCCATCCCAGTTAGCCAATTTATGCAACTTTTTGCTGGAAATTAATTGCGAATTTAATAAGTTAAATTCTATTCTCAAAATGTTCAGACACAATGTAGATGACAGGAAGACAGCCGGGTATGACGGTCCCATCCCTACAATGGAGTTTGTAGACACTAAGCTCCACGAAGCCGTCCGTTATGGCGACACGAATCTGGTGGAGAGCGCCCTCAAGGAGGACCTGGACCCCAACGCCATCGGCTTGTACCAGTGGGGTCCGCTGCACGAAGCTGCCAGCAATGGCGATCTGGAGATCTTGTGGCTTCTGCTTCAGTATAAAGGCAAGGGACCAAATATAAACAGATTACAAAGTCCTTTGTGGCAAAACGTCTATTGATGTCAACAAGTTCCCACAGTGTCAGCATAGACCCTTTGCATGGCAGCCATCTTGGGGTGCATTGCTTTTGTTCAGCAGGGGTTTAGGTAAAAAAAACCTTTTTCTGCGTGCATTGTTTATACATATTAAATTAAAAAAAGCTTCCAACATTTTGTCCAAGATGGCTGTTGTATGCAAAAGTTCTGCATATTCTAGAGCATTTAAATTAATTTTTTTCTAGTGCTAAAAATTAGGCCAAACAACTGCTTCCGATTACATGACATTTGAAAATAGGGTAGGAAGGGAGAGATTTTATTTATTAATTTTGTTGGCAATTTTTGTGTGTGGCCTCATAGAGTAATGCTGTGGAAATATATATCAATATGATTTATGTCAGTCCTCTTGAGATATACATGTAGTTCCTGTACCGCCCCAAACCGCCCTGCCCTTTATGCAGTATAAGACTGCTCCAGCACTAGTCCTTCCCAGAACTGTATGGATTTATGGATTCATCAGGGAATAAATACAATGTAATACAATGTTATACAATATAATACAATGTAATACAGTGCAGTGAGGGTGCAAATGGATACTCTTTGACATAAACGCTGTCATTCAAAAAGAAAGGCTCTAAAAATAGGGTTAAAGGTAATACACAACATTTGTAATCTTCAAAAAACAAAACAACTAAATTATTATGAAATACCTTACTTGATTGTCAGAGAATAATTCTCTCAAGCATCCTGTGAAATTATGGCACCTGGTGTGCTGTCATTTTCAAGAATTTAAGTAAAATTTGTGTATCAATTTCCAGCGATGGTCAGCTGACCAAAATTGGGAAAACTGACTTTATTAAAATACTGTCCCCAATTTACCAAATTTAGTTAGTCCAAATTATTTTGCAATCGGTTACACATCCGTAAACGGGTGCAAGCGAGCTAGTCTGGTTCCCTGACCTGACAATTCCCTGACATCTATAAATTGCTCCGTTCCTTGTGAAGTACATGTAGGGTCAGGGAACCATACAACAAACACAGCATTTTTTTCAAGTCATATGTTACAATATTTGCTATAAATACTAACCCCAAATACATCCATTTCTGAAAATTACAGCAAAACCAAATGTTGTATATATTATTGTTAAGTCAATCAAGTAAACTTCTGAATAGAGGCATCAATTCATCAATGATATTGATTGTTTTGATACATCAGGGGACCCAAATGCCAAAGACCACCTGCATGGGTGCACACCGGTCCACTACGCCTGCAGAGAGGGTCACGTAGAATGCTTAGAGGCGTTGCTTGAGATGGGCGGGCGCTATGATGTTGCCAATGACGACGGAGAGACGGGACTGGATATGGCAGTCGGGAAATGCCGAGAGTTACTTGATAAGCAAAGTATGTAGTCAACATGCTTTAAAATCTTTGATCTTATTTTATTCCTTTTTTATTTCTTCCTATTTGTAAAGTGCTTTTTATATTGAATGTTTACTAGTTTTAAATGTTTTCATTGTAATGCCGTTTCAATTGAGCTTTTTTGGCTGCGATAGTGGCTTTAATAAACCAGAATAATAATAATTTAAAAAAAAAATTTGCACAACCATGTTGACTACATGAAAATGTCCTTTTTCTCTAATAACAGTAACAGTCTAAAAGCAGGGTGCTTAAACAATTTTTAAGGAAATAAATTCATGTTGTAAAGTAAAGTAAAAAGTAAAGTCTGTCACAAGCCAATGTGGCCCATCAGGCAGGTATTATCTCCAGTTTTAGCAGCATGAAACGACTGAGAATATTTCTATTCCCCCTGGATGGGATGCTAGTCCATCGCAGGTTACTCCCCAGCTAATGCTGGTACCATTTATACTCCTGGGTGGAGAGAGGCAAGTGGGGGTGAAGTGGCTTGCCCAAGGACACAACATATGACCAGCAGCTGGATTGGAACCCCTGACCCTCTGATCACGAGTCACGAACCCTAACCCCATGCCACACTATCTTCATGTTGTAAACAAGACAGAAATACAAAAAATTGATGTGTTTCAGTAAGGAAAAACTTCAGAATTAAGTACAAAATATGACAAATTTTGAATAGTCTGTGTGCATTTATTTTAAACCTGTTAATATTAATTTGTTTGCAGCGAAATAAAGATCAATTTGCTTTCTGACTTTACAGATAAGAGTAAACTTCCTGTTAACCTTGGCATGTGTGCAACTTATTGTACAGAGAACACTGAATCATACCATGCTGAACGTGTTCCAAAAATATTATAATTTCTGACTGATTTACCTTTCGCTTTCAGGGACGCAGGAACTGATCCGAGTTTCAGTCAAAGAGAAACTGAGACACGATGAAAATGAGGACAAAGTTCTCAACGACAAAACTCCCGAGACAATTGGCAAGGATTCTGTCTTTGAGGACTTTGATGAGCATGTGTCCCCTACCCCATCTCTCAAAGGCAACTTACCAACTGCTTGGGATGCCATCAAAGTCCATGAGACAAGCTCTAAGCCAGCCAAAGATGCAGGTAACGTCATCAATCAGACCAATCCCAAATATACAACACAGAGATTTTTAATCGTGAGAAAAATGTATACAATAGATCTTTTTGTTTTAAGCACCGTGCACTGTGCACATTGCCAGCAACACATGCGGCTCTCCAATATGCCATACCGCATGAGCCAGATATGCATGGGCATCGCGAGGGGGGGGGGGGGGGCAAGGGGGGGCACTTGCCCCCCCCCCTGGAAAAGCAAAAAAAAAAAAAAAAAAAAAAAAGAAGAAGAAAAAAAAAAAGAGGCGCGAAGACAAAGTGGTGTAAATTTAATGAGTTGGGGGGGGGGGGCAAAATGTCCTTGCCCCCCTCTAAAACTGATAAATTGAGAATGTGTTGAGAAATACAAGCATTTTTTGGCAAAAATTTTTTTTGCCCCCCTCTAGAAAAAATCCTGGCGACACCCATGCAGATATGTGCATCATATGCAAGCGCATGCATTAATGTATTGTTTCAAAAGCTTTTCAAAAGTCAGAATGCTCCAGTTTGAAGTTAATGTTTATTTAGTTTGTTTGTTTGTTTTTGTTGGGGGGGGGACCCACAACTGATTCCAATACAAACTGCCCGCCTCTCCACTCCCTCTATCCCTCCTGTATCTTCCTGTAACCCCCCCCCCCCTTTCTTCCTCCACCCCTCAAGAGCCACTCCCGACTATTCTTTGGAGAACAAACAGTGTACAATGTATATCACTGTAAGATATTTCCATTCATTTAATGAATTCTATATTTTAATTAATGTTGTGATTTTCTTGTACAAGTTGTCACATCCTATTTGGTGCGACACCTGTCAATATTGGATGCTAGGGGATGCCCTTTAAATACATTTTGTCAACCCTGTGTTAAGTTGGGCATTGTTTATTTGCATCGTTAGGAACTGGCCTGCTTCAGTTGTCCTTTGAGTACAATTCACATACGTCAATCATGAAGATCCGGGTGTGGCAACTAGAGGACATTCTGCTTCCACCAGGTAAGTTAAATGCATTCTTTCTTTTTCCTGATATTAAGGAATCATACCTTGTTTTGGTCCTTGCTGATGTAAGATGGTCAGGTTTCTTGCTTTTTAGTGGAGACAACTCTGCATCTAGATACTTCAAACTAGGAGCGAGACTAAAGAGAGTGTGTAAATATTGTGGCTAAATAGTGTGACCTTGTAAAGATTCAGTTTGTTTATTTAACCAAGTCTAATCTTAAAACTTATTTACAGACCTCACACTGCAATTTTGAAAAACATAAGTAACCTTTTTTCTTCTCTTTGAAATGAAGTGAAACTCCTGAAATATGACCTCAACAGCTTCCACATACATGTATTTGCTGGAATGTAAAATTCAGAGTCCAACTTACATTGAGGTTGTCTTTAAGAAATTGTAAAAGTAAACTTGAAAGCTGTGAAACCTAGACTTTTCCCTGGATGTACTTAAGTCCCTTAGACTTCTTTAGCATTGTAGTCTAGACTTCTTCAGTCTCTTCAAATAGGTTTTCTAATTGCAGGATACATTTTGAACACATCTGTAGAGTATGTGCAGTAGAACCACCTCAGTTAGGACCACACCTATCAGATAAACTGCATCCATCAGTGTCAGTCCATTCATTAGAACCACAGAATAACATTTTCAGCAGAATCACGGTCCAGAGAAGGTGCATCTGTTAGTAGAGATGCGTGCATTTATCACACCCATTAGTTGAGCCATACCCATTTTTAGAACACAGCCATTAGGATAACCACGCCCTTTGGAAGAAACGCACCTATTAGATAGAAGAGCCACTCCCATGAGATGAAACACAATCATCAGTAGAACTGAACCAGTTAGTAGAATCACACCCATGATGGAACCACACCCATTGATAGACGCACATCAATCAGTAGAGCCACACCCATCAGTACAACTACAAGCCTAGGTAGAGTGATAGTTTCCATAGATTCATGCTCGTCTGTAGATACAGTGTACATCTCTTGGTACGGATGGATCCATCGGTAGAGCCACACCCATCAGCACACCCAACAAGCCTAGGTAGAGTGATAGTTTCAATAGATTCATGCTCGTCTGTAGATACAGGGTACATCTCTTGGTTGGGATGATCCATCGGTAGAGCCACACCCATCAGCACACCCAACAAGCCTAGGTAGAGTGATGGTTTCAATAGATTCATGCTCGTCTGTAGATACAGGGTACATCTCTTGGTTGGGATGATCCATCGGTAGAGCCACACCCATCAGCACACCCAATAAGCCTAGGTAGAGTGATAGTTTGAATAGATTCATGCTCGTCTGTAGATACAGTGTACATCTCTTGGTAAGGATAGATCCATCGGTAGAGCCACACCCATCAGCACACCCAACAAGCCTAGGTAGAGTGATAGTTTCAATAGATTCATGCTCGTCTGTAGATGCAGTGTACATCTCTTGATAGGGATGGATCCATCGGTAGAGCCACACCCATCAGCACACCCAACAAGCCTAGGTAGAGTGATAGTTTCAATAGATTCATGCTCGTCTGTAGATACCGTGTACATCTCTTGGTAGGGACGGATCCATTGGTTGAGGCACACAAATCTGTAGAATATGCCCCGTAGTCTACACCTGCTTAGATGTCTGAATCCAAAATAGCGCCAGTCTACTAAATCAACTTTTTGTCCCCCATTTCTATGGTAGCTGAGGTCGCAAGCATCACTCGGGTCAGCATCCGAAGTCGCCTTCTCCCCGATAAAAAGGGTGACACCAAACGGAAGACAGAGGAGGCAAAAATTGAGGACTTGGAGAAGATGAAGACGAGCATTGTCAGTGTAAAGCGCAAAACTGCCAAGGATAGCTTTAAGGCTATCTACTTACCTTGTAATTTCCAATTTACTAAACCACTCGAGTACAAGAACATTACCAAGGAGATGGTGGAATCTAAGACAGTGCACATCGATGTGAATGTCAAGCAGAAGTACAGCAATAAGAGTTTTTCAGTGGCAAACGTACAGCTGCCACTGAAGGAGGCCGTCCGCAAACTCCGGAAGAAGAGATACAGCCTGCATCCATGTATCAATTATACCATGCCTGATAATATCCATTCCTATGATCCGAACGATTTGATTATTGTCTCTGAGGGTATGTATAGCAATAAGACTGTGAGTAACCCCAACCTCCGAGCGTTGTCCAAGCACAGCTTGCAGGTCGGGACGGATCCTCAGCGAGCAACCAGCGACATCAACCTTCAGACGGTGCGCTGCCACTCGGCTGAGAGCATCCCATCAGTCTCCTTGAGCATCCCCGATGACGAACAAGAAGAGAACGAGGCTTTGCAAGCCATTGCCATCATGAACGACTCACCAAGGTCATCTCATCTCAGTCACAGTAATCCTGAGATCCACGTCGTCGAAATCCATGAAATGGACACCATCCTACCAGGGACTATGAACACAGACCTGACAGAGGTAAAGGTGGAGACTCCTCAACGCAAACTCAGCAGAAGCTCTCCAAACATTCCTGTCCTCCAGATCGAGGATCTTGAGGGCGAAGCTCCTCTCAAGAAGCTAAACAGGCCCACATCACCTCCTAATAGGTTAGCTGTTCCTCCTGTCTCATACAACAGACGGCGTCATCAAAACTCATCAAGAATTCAGCGAGAGCTTCCTGATGTTGAAAATCTCAAAAAGACTCCAGATTCTCTCCATGACAGAGACTTTAAGAGTGGCGTAGACCAGGAGCCTCCCAGACCAGGGAAGGCAGTTCCTGTGTCACCCATTCGCAAAGACCCAAATTTCAAAGATGTTGGAGAAAAACTTAAAACTTTCAGTAATCCCTCGGGAGCCTTGCACATCGCCAAGGATGCCCCTTCAGGTTTGGATAGGAAGAAGGAGGCAATCAGGTCTAAGGTAAGAGAAAAAAGGAACCTGAAGAGCAAAGATGGACACCATGGGCTGTTGAGAACCTTCAGCGAGAAGGAAGGCATTGACTCAACTGTGTTTGAACATGATGAAGCTAGTAACACAAGTCATGTGGAATACCAGGAGGTCAGCGAGCTAACAGGAAGTCCATCCAAACTGTCATCATCAAACTTTAGTGCAGTTCTTGGCCAAAAACAGGAGGGAAAGCCATCCAAACACAGAATCTCGAGGACAGTCCTCCCAATGTCTGAGTTGACCTTGAATCCGAGTCTCTTACCAAAGGTAGAGACAGTTTCTGAAACACAGTTTGGCCATTTGAGCCCAACCAAGCAATCCACGCCAAAGAAGCCTGCACTGAAAGATCCTACAAGGACACATCAGAACCCTAAAAGATTGCATTTGTCAGTCTCAGGGATGCCCGAGACCAACAAGATGACAGTTGCTGCCCAGGACTTCCCTCAACCTATTACCCGCGGACTCATGCACACTGAACTCAGAAGGCCTACATCACCACCACAGCGACTGTCATCACCTGACGATTTGTACACCAAGTCTCGCTCTCCAAGCCCAGGATCAGAAGCCAGGGTGCACTTCCAATCTGAAACTGAAATCATAGAGCCACGTTATAAGCAGACGTCCCCCGCTCGGAGAATAAGGTCCCCTGTCCGTGAACCTGAGTCGAAAAGCCCCAAAACACCTGAGAGAGTTGAAATTGAAATGAGCCATTTGCAGCTCGATCCAGCATTCCAAAAGGAAATGGCAACTCCAGAGTTTAAGCTGCGAATGTTCCAGCGAACCAGCAGAGATCCTCATCCAACTGAACACTATATCAGGAGCAAACCCGCAGGAAGCAAGCAGCTGTTGGATTCCCAGGAGGAGGGAATGGATCCATTCTTCGTGCCAGAGACTCCCACTGGATCACCAATGGCCAGTACCTCTTCTGGTACAAGTCAATATCAAGGGAGGTCTGTCAAAAGGCCAAGGGGCGTACAGACTGGCAGGAAAACGGAGTTAAAACAGGGTGAGATGAGACCTGTTGAAAACCAGTCCATCGTCAGAGTAAAGCAAAGTGTACTTTGATGAAGATAATGAAAACATGTATGTACTTAAATTATTTTCCATCGCCAGTAATGCCAGTTGGCACCGCCTATGTGATACTGTTCCAGCCACGTCAACAAGAAGTAGTCTTAGATTTTCTGGGTTGTTTCAGTAAGAGCAACCTTTTAAGTAAGCCTCTTTATCAAGATGAACTTATCAAACTTGTTTTCAATCTTAGCAAGTGGCATCGTCTTACTTTTACAACAAAAGATGAACAAGCCATGGATGAGCTGGTAGCGATTTTAATGTCACTGTTTAATCTACTCAATGTAACTAATGCAACATCTTATTGCAATCAAAGCAAAATTTACATTTAGGCATGCAGACACCTATAGATTAAAACGGTGGTAATGCCGCATGAAAAAATTCCCAGAAAATTTTTGCCAAAAAAATAGTTCATGTACACAATTAAACTTTTGATGCTTCCAGTTTTAATTTACAAAATGAACAAACAAAATGTGTACATGTGTGTTTTGATTGAATGTTTTTAAACAGTTTTATTAAAGTGACTGATTCTCAGGGAAATAGTGTTACGAACAGTAAAGACAAGTAATGTACATACATGTACTAACTTATTTCGTTTTCAGGATAGTCAGTTATTGCTCAGATTGTAAATTATAGAGTATTCCTCAGTGTACAAACTTTAGCTAATATGTATTAAGACCAATCTGTGAGTGATTGTTTTCAGACGTAGTATTCATTTGCATACAAAAGAATATCATTACTTTATTTTCAAATATTACCTCCCATTCTTCATATTCATCCCATTGAAGTTACTACAAGTCTCAATCACTTTCTAGATTGAACAAAACTATGACCTTCCATCACGATCTAGCTGGCATCCTTTAGAAGGAGATTTGTAGCAGCTTAACATTTTAATAGCAAGTCACTACGCATACATGTAAAAACATACTCCAGACCCTTGATAGCGATATAGCAAGCGTGGTTTGATGAAACCTTTGAGCAATTTTGCTAAATTGTATTTGAAATAACAACTTTATATTTTTTTCTCCTCAATATTATTAGAACCTGCCTTGGCTAATATTTATTTTAATTCTGAATGTATTCAAAATGATAAATTCTTTTTTTTTTTGAATTTCTATTATTTTTTTGGCTCTCTGTCTGTACATAAAGTTTTAACTTACACTTTCCATACTAGTCTTTTACATTTACAAACATGTACAACTTTTTTTTTCTTTTTTGACAATTTCACTTTTTCAACTCTCTTTTCGAAAATTTCTGATTTTTAATGTGAACGATCCGTCCACGCTTAAGCATCCTATACGCAAACCAAGTTAATGTAATCCGTCCTTAATTGAGCATTTTCTAATTCTAAGATTTGATAAACATACATTTTGAAATGAAATGTCTAGATAATTATAATTCTCAAAGATATGATAATGGCATAAATTTTTACATGCAATTTTGAGGTATCCATTAAATAATGTTTTGATATCAAATATATAAATACAAACAGTATTTTAATCTTGTTGTATTTTAGACTGCTACTCGCATGAGAACAGATTAAGAAATGTAGTTTCCGTAATTACTTGTCCAATACCATATACAATTGACATTTGTTTTTAAATGGAAGGTTTTTTTTGGCCAACCTAATTTGCTATTGTTTTTTTTTTCGCATAGCGGAAATTTTGACGATTTCACATTGAATGTACGTACATGACGAAAAAGATGAAAACAATTGGTTTATTTTTTTCCTCGGAACTTCTAACCAGTGATATTTCCAGAAAGCCATAGACGAATCCGGTCATGTGATCACTTTACCCTTTAATACTGAGGCCCCCTTCAATGGCGAAACCCCTGTGCATGCTACTGTTCAAAGCAACTGCCCCGTGACGGATTATATAAACAATAGCTAGCACAATGCTTTCGCCATTGAAAGGGCCTCCCTGATATTAAGTCATGGGCCTTATCTAAGAGTCGGCCATGTTGAATTGGAAGTGAGGTAAAATCTTAATTGTTCTGAACTTGCGAAGAGAAATGAAAGCAAGTACATTGCTAAATAATTCAAGTCTGCTTATATAAATAATTTAAACTTCGTAATATTTTTAGCCAGATTAAAAATATGAAAGTAAAATAAGGCTGCATAAATAGTCTGGCGCCATTCCTTTCAACAGTTAACAATTTATGAAATACATTCAGGGAACACGACAAAAATGGCTACCTCGTGAATAAGGTCTATACCTTGCCCGGATCGGACGACCTTGCCCGGATCGGTTCATATGGCGTGTTGTATGGAAAATAGGTACATATAGTTTCTATTTTAATTCCTGTTTCATATGGGAAATACTTAGCTCTTCAGAGTACGTATACAGGCGAGTATACAAGCGTTTGGTAAGATACAGAACAAAAGTCCGATTAGTATTCCATAAACCTAGGAGAAGGTACGCCTGCCTGAAACGCCCTCCTGAAACGAGCGCCTGGCCCTGTGAAATCCCACGGATACTTTTGAGTGGGACATTCTGTATAGTATGTCCCCCCCCCCAAAAAAAAAAAAAACAATAAAAAAAATGTTAGTCTAAATATTTTTGAATGACAACAAAACCGAGAATTAAATTTTGAAAATTTGTAATCATTTGCCTGGCTATCAGTCATCATGGCAAGCTCTCAGTTTAATGCTCAAGGGCAAATGATTCCAATCCCCAATCGAAGCAGCCCTTTTTTTCTCAACATGAAGGAATTTACGCAGCTTACATAATAAAGCAATACAAATCGATTAAGGCAAGGAACTTGGTCACAGTGTACAAACGTTTTGTGATCAAGTTGCCATTCTTCTGTGAGGCGTGAGTGAAATTAAATAACACTCACAGGGTTTAGGGCAAGGATTTATCTGCATACTGATTAACTTTTCAAAATTTACTTCGTGGTTTTGTTATTTCAAATATATTTAGACGTACACTTTTTGGGGGACATACTTTATGCTGCCTGTAATTATCAACATGTTCCCACGGATACACTGTACATGGAGTTGCAGTCGTTGGTGGCATAAACAGTAGCTTTCGACTTGAGCGACCAACGCTTTCACTAGGTACTTCACGTACCTTATTAGATACTTCATGTAGATGTACGAACTAGCCTGGCTACACTATACCAACGTCGTTCCCGTCTTTGGTGGTTTTTTTTTTTAAATACCCCCGGTTTCGGGGACAGGGCAGCCCCAGTGCCTTATCCGCCTTGACCGTATTTCTAAACATTAACGTATAGTCGTTCGTCGTTCCAGCCGGCGTTCACGGGTTTCTCCTGATGGTATGCCAACCGTACGTGCTCCTTCCCGTCGGCAACGCCTGGTGCTGCGTCTACGGTTGAAGCCGTGTCTTGGGTTGGTACCACAGGAGTGACTTCCGGTTTGTCTCTGACGTTAGCCGATGCTTGGCAACCAGATGATAAAATGCCATCTTCTGGAACTGCTCGAACAGATCTTGGGGTGCTGTACTTAGCCATGGGATCCTCATCGGTATTAGCTTCCTCTCCAGCCGTCTCGTTCTTTTCATCATTTCCACTAACAGCAAGGGATTTGCGCCGTTTGTACGCGTGGTACTTGTACAACCCAACCGCTATGCAGACACAGAGCAAGAAACTTCCCACGGCGAGCCAAACGAAGACTACGGGATGAAGCCGGCCACTCGTACCCACGGTGCCATTCCGCCCAACAGCTGCACACGGATCGGGCAAGCTTTGGTTGAAATCAAAGACGTCAGATTCACTCCCAGTTGCATTGGCGAGACATCTCAGGGCGTACCCACCGTCTTTCGTGTCGTTCCACGGTACGATCAGACGCGGACCTCGTACCTCAAACCTCCCCGTGCTCTCAGCATTTACCCAGGTATCATTGTCCGTCTGGACCGCCCAAGACACTTCAAGATCCGGAGGAACGGTCAAGCATTGCAATTCGACCGTTGTCTGTCGACCGTTGTTCTTGGAATCGTTTCTCTGTAGAAGACACACCTCTGTTCTGGCTGGGGTGTTAGAAGGGGCGGTCATGTTGATCGAAGGCAACATCGTTGTGGTGTCATTTAGAACCAATGTGGTATTAACGCTGCTGCCCCACACAAGATGAAAAGCAGACAGCATGCATGTCATAACTACTGGAAATCCAGCAGCCGCCATTTTGTGTAGCTACAATATAAGCTAGCTCACAGCTAACATTGGCTAAAAACATGCCAACATCTTCGTTTTATTCCCAGTTATTTTTCTTTCGCTTCTCTGACTCAACTATCAGTTTTGCATCATGGACAGAAGCACAATTTTATATTGAACTGTTCTTCAGTTGTACACATTGACTTTTGCAATGTAGGTTTTGCAGTAGTTTTGATTTCGGTGGTTGTAGTAATGTGTATGTAGGCAACGCTCGGTTTGAGGTAAAATTTTCTTGATTTAAAGTTTGTTTGTTTTTAGAGATCCTGTTGCTGTGAAAACTTTCATAATCTGCATGTATGGTTTTCGTCAATATTTAAATATGTGCATACAGTTACAAGTTGTGTAGTGCCGCAAAAGTACTCTCTCGATGAAGCAATCGATCACTGTCAATAGCTTGCTACATTTTATGAAAACATCTCCCGTTTGACAACCCTATTGATAACCGACCATTGATTAATTTGGATGTTCTGTTAATGGTGAATTTTGATACAGTATTGTTCCGTTGGTCATTTTGAAGTGAAGACGGTGTTTTTGGATGGTTTCCGTTGTGGTTGCGCTTATGTCATATCTTATAACTCTTATACCTTTTGCTTGTGAGTCGTCATTATTTGTACAAATGTATATTTATTTGTTCCCTTCTTTTCACGCATTTAAACGAATTCATTTTATGAAGAAACTAATGCGCATTAGGATGATGTGGGATGATCAGTATGTAGCTCAAAATTCTTTGAAAGAGTATTGCAGGCTGCACGGTGAAAGTGAAACAATATTGTCTCCAGGAACATGAGCTGCATTTATCATAGTCCAGATGCTGGACTTTTCTTTGTTTTTTGTTTTTTTGTTTTTTGGTCACAGACCCAGTATAGGGCGCCCTCTTTACAAACACTTGCCTGTCGGGTGTGAGAGTCTGCTGTATGTGCGTGCTTCCAAAAATCACGGAAAAATACTCGCACCTATTGCACACTGCGGACATTACGTTCGATTAATACATTATAGGGTCACCAGTACAACTAAAATGATTGCATTTTGTTTTCGCTTTTAGAAGTTGTTGGGTTGTTTGTTTGTTTGTTTGTTTGTTGGGGTGTAGGGGTGTTTGTTGGGGTGTTTGTTTGTTTGTTTGAAGTGATGTCAAGTGCTAATTCATTCTGCAACAGGAAATACGTATTGCATGCTCACTAGTGAACATGAAAGTGAAATCAGTCAAAAAATCAGGAACATGAGCTTTTATAAAATCATTTCCATTCGATTCACCAAGGAAAATGGCCGGTATTACATTTGCCGTGTTGTGTCTCGTGGCTTTCTCGAAGGCGACTGTTTTCGTGGATGAACCTGACAATTTGACCGTCGAAGTTGGCGGCCAAGCGACGTTCAGATGCGGCTTTAACCAAGACTACGACTGTTCCGCTTCCCAGTGGGTATATTCGAGCTCCCAGTGCAGTCATGGTTCCTTTGTAACCATTGTAACTTGCCGTTATGTATCGCTTGTACCATCTATAGACACTAGTCGATTTTCCTCAACATTTGGTAAAAGCACCACTCTGTTCCAAATCAACGATGTACAACTTAGTGACGCAGGGTACTATGCCTGCAGGATTGCTGATCTGAACGAGTTTTCAAGATGTGGATATTTGACCGTAGTTGACCCGCCCACTCCTCAGTGTACGATGTTATCATCAAGTGTCCGAGTAGGAGACACGGTCAGGTTCATGTGTCGGGTACCAGAGGAGGCTCTCACCCGTACAAAGTTGACATGGCACCCGCCTAAGACACCCGGCTACACTCGCAGTGTGAATGTAGACCCAGGACACTCTTACACCATCGACCGTGTTCTCCAAGAATCTGACAAGTTTGGAGTGTTCACTTGTATTGCTGGCAACGACATCAGTAACGGACCGAACTGTACGTTGTATCCGTTCGAAATCAAGACAGTCAGTGTTCGTTTTCAGCAGGAAAAGTCAGGTGAAATATCAGCACTGACGTTTGAATGCGTCGCGGACGCAGCGCTGCCAGATACGCACTACTCGTGGTCCGTGAGAGTTGCTGAATTTCCAAATGGTACACAACCTGAGTGGATCGATGCCGGCACAGACGACAGATTCGTGATCGACGGTGATCAGATGAGATTTCTTCTGTTGGTTCCTGAAGACGAAGACGATGGTTTGCAGGTGAGATGTACGGCCTTTAACGGGATCGGTTCGAGCAAGACGAGTGAAGCGCTCGCCGTCATCCGTTGTCCCGACGGCCATTTCTTGACCAACAACACTGACTGCGCCGACATCTTTAATGACTCTTCATACTTTTGGATTGCT